GTAATGCGTATTCGCTTGTCTCCACTCTTCTCGACAATATCCACTAGGAGCTCCCAACCCCCATTCAATGGTATTGCAGCAATTTCGCTGCATAATGCACCGTTGCTTACTTCATCACCACTATTCTGCTCCGAATGGTCTAGCTGTCCCGACCAACTATGGCAGCTCAGGTTGCTGCATCTGCAGCAAAACGTATCTAACTCACTTCTACGTCCCGGACTTGTTAGTAGTTTCTAGAATTCGACGGAACCGCAGTAACGGACTGTCAACGACAAGATAAAACATTTATTTTTTATTCTACTCTTTTCACGGAAATTTTCATTGCCCTCATCTATTTATTAACATGCGTGGTAAAAGTGTGCTGTCCTCAAAAGCAGCCGGTCTTCGAAGCACCCTAGATACAGCTTCACTACGGTTGCTGACCAACTCATTCTCAGTAGTTACTACGGATGGAGATAAAACGTGTCAAAACTTGACGAAGAAAGCTCAACCGAATGGTCACAGCTTGCATCACTCGAAGTTAGCTAGACCCCCAATCCTCACGGTACTGTGAATGTCGCTGTCGTCATTCAAGTGAACGCGGCCCCCCCCCCGCCACACCTAGCAATTATCCCAACCTGCTGATGATGGCCAAGTCTGAGTAAAACGGAGGCGTCTGGACAAACCTCATAGGTACGGGGACGACTGCTTCACATGTGCCGTTGCTGTAACCAGAAGTGACGCAGTCTTTGAGTTCTACAGCCACAGCGGGCGGGGGCGTGGTGACGTGACAAAGAAGCGCAAATCAGCACTACACTCTTATAACGTGACACCCACATGCACGGTCCAGGTACATGTGCCCACAGTGCTGTCCGAGACCGCGCCTAGCTTCAGGCTCCCGTAGAATTGCTGGCAACTCCCCCCTCCGTAACCGCCGGACTCAGGCATCCGTCTAAACCACTGCCATAGGGGAGATTTATTTGCAAAAGGCTGTCAGTGGTGGCTCACCAGAGGTCACAGACCTGAAAGGCTCAAAACCGAAAGTAGGACGACCACGCCCATCCAAGGCCTCGGAGCCGCATCAACGACAGCCACCAGTGGACAACATAGCAAATGCGTCAACGCATAAGAAGACGTCTGACAGATAGCAGTGGTACTCCCTTTGTGACATGTTAGGCTTAGATGCCTTCAGGTCATAACCATATCTGTTGTACAATGGCACCCATTCACCCCAGGAGAAGCCCTCACCGATTAGAGAGACTCCGGGCTAAACTGGAGACCCCAAAAGGCTCCTTTTACCATCACACATCTCGGTCATCGGCAGATCACCCGGTATTGGGGCCAGAACTGACCGATCATGGATGTCAAGAAAGATATCTCGAGAAGCAGGTGGTCCACAAAAACCCATAATCATGTTCACACAAGGAATGCTTGAACTGAAAATTGGTACCCCAGGTGATAAGTACGCCCATGACGTCCAACAGTGAGAGTGGTCGTCAGCTCGGATGGAGCTAAATAGGGTTACGGCTGTAGCAGTCAGAATTCTGTCGCCCCATCACACCTGACAGGCATGGTGTCATCTAGACTAATGTTCGTCAACTGCAAACTCCCAGAAGCTCCAGCTGCCGTGCTAGAGACGTGGTATAAAGTCAAGAGCAACAAAGGCGGTAACGCTCGCTGCTGTGAAAGCCGGCCCAGAACACTGCTACAACAGCAAACAGCGGTTACTCCTCGTACTCAGATCGCCATCAGTCTGCTCTGACACGGTGAGAGTCAGGCCGGTAAACTCCACCTAGCACCAAATGGGCTGATCTGCCTAGGAACGGCCTCAACCGGGCGGTTCCATAGGAGCTGGTCGGTTAGTAAAAGCCCCCCCGCACCAAACACTGTGTTATTAGCTAATTCGAGGATATCTCACGTTACAAGAAGCACGTCCGAGTGTCTTTATAGCATCGTGAGGGGACCCCAAATTAAGATATCAAAGCCCGGATCCCTATTTTCCAACCTTGTCCTGAAAATCGTAATCCTGATGGAAACATGGTTACCGCCGCACATTGGCGACGCTAAAGTTAATGTAGATGAAATGTTTTTCTTCAGGAGGGAAATGGAACACGAAGACGGAGGAGAGGTTGCAATGTATGCGAACGGTTGGTTCAAAAGTGGACAAAATACTTACACTGTACTGACAGTGATCCTGGACTCATCCGGTGCCACTTTGGGGTCAGATGCACTAAGCGACCGATTGGAGGTGTCCATTGGTCCCCTGATAGGAACGTGGAACACAACCAAACACTACTCCAAGTAATATTCACTGGTCCCGCCATGGGGTGTGACCAGATTCTAATAGACGGTGACTTAAACGCCCCACTTTTCAGCCCAGAGAAAGGTAGCATGACCACAAGCTATAGGTTCGACCGTAACCTGCTACACATCATCTAAACGGCTGAACTATAAAAAACTAGCGATGATGCCCGCCAGGGGTCAGGTGGCTAACCATCTAGGCCAGGTTGCCTACCGAACAGTGATCACCTACTAGTTGAGAACGTAGAGGTTCAAACCCTTCCTAGAAGCAGCAATCATGCTATGGTGCTGCTCGACCCTGTAACCCGAGAACAATTATCGTGCTAGGGATTTCGCAGCTGCACCTTTAACAGCAGGGCAAACCAGGACGGAAAAAATCAGTGCATATCGAGAGCCCCATGGCCAGTAAAGAGGCGCTCCAGGGCCGAATATCCACAACCGGGTGCAATCGTAGCTATAGAAACACTTAGACAGTAGGCAGTCCTGCACAAATGTCAACAAGTTATATTCAACCTAGAGAACATCATCGCTCAGTGTCTTGCAAGCGGCAATCCTGGATCCGTTGTTGTTCCTACTGTGCGTGAACGGCCTTCCACTGCATATCAGCTGCCCAATTCTCCTCTACGCTGATGGCGTCAAATTACGGAGGTCAGTAACATGAGAAACAGAATCGAGCACACTACAGAATAACCTCGAGACACTACAGGAGTGGCAGAAGAACGACGAACTGGCATCTCACCTAGGTGAATGCCGGTCCATATTTTTCTACACTTCTGGTTCGCAGAAAGTATCCTACGCGCTCTGTGGCTCACACGTTTCTCATACCGCCGCAGAAAAAGGCCCAGAGTTAACGGTGACGTAGATACTGGACACCAAAAGATGCCTCAAAGGCATACGGCGTGGCATACTTTGTGCACAGACAGCTGGGTATCTTCACCCCAGAGATCTTACTGAAGCTCCAAAGGGCTTACATGCATCCCCACTTGCAGTTTCACGACATCTTCCCTCCGCCACACATGATGATTGCCACGAATCTGCTGGAGAAACTTTGGAGGTGAACCATATGGGGCAGATTAAAAGACCCAGGCCCGTACTCTCTTGATTAACGAGAGTCACTAAGTGGTATGACTGGCTGGCAAAATAGTGGGTAACCCAAATCGACCGGAAAGAGGAGTGTGACTGAGTGATCGCTGTGGTTAACTCTGGGCCTTTTTCTGCGGCGGTATGAGAAGCGTGTGAGCCACAGAGCGCATAGGATACTTTCTGCGAACCAGAAGTGTAGAAAAATATGGACCGGCATTCACCTAGGTGAGATGCCAGTTCGTTGTTCTTCTGCCACTCCTGTAGTGTCTCGAGGTTATTCTGTAGTGTGCTCGATTCTGTTTCTCATGTTACTGACCTCCGTAATTTGACGCTTTAGGATTTATCCTGGTGCGAACTTGACAGACGCAAAGACCAATCACTAATTATTCGAACTTGTTATATACCCACGAATACCAGACCAAGGAAGAACACGATAGCGTAGTCGGATGGAATAGTATATTTGGATGGTTATGCCAAAATACCGATGCGTTCCAACTAACTGGATAGAGAGTCGAATACGAGCAATGCAACGTATCGCGACAGCGTGCCAAATGGCGAGGATGCTTGACCGGGTGCCTTCAGCTTAGCGAGTCCAGTTAAACTAGCAAGGTCAGCATCAATGTCGAAAGTCGTCAAACCCTAGGCTATTGATTTTGGGGAAGTGTGTGACGCTACAACGCCATCAGCGTAGAGGAGAATTGGGCAGCTGATATGCAGTGGAAGGCCGTTCACGCACAGTAGGAACAACAACGGATCCAGGATTGCCGCTTGCGAGACACTGAGCGATGATGTTCTCTAGGTTGAATATACCTTGTTGACATTTGTGCAGGACTGCCTACTGTCTAAGTGTTTCTATAGCTACGATCGCACCCAGATGCGTTTAACTTACCCAGTGACTTTGTCTGTTGGGATGGGGTATGAGACAGTGTCAAGGGCTCTGGCAAAATATGGAAAAATTGCGTGGACCAGTGACCTTGAGATCTCATCTTTTAAAAATTTCGAGATAAGGCTAGATAGCTCTGCAGAGATCTCTGTTTTACGCTCATCCAGTTAGAATGCGAGCTTGACTGCCGGAATCAAGTGCTGTTACACCGTTCCTACTATGTTACCTCTGCACCAGTTTTCTTACCTCGTCATCTCTCTCACTAGCGATGAATTAACCTCATCTGCTTAAGTTCTTCATATCTTGGCAACCCTGTCGTCTTACTTGAGTGTAAGTAAACCACTCCATCAGTTCAAATTCGCATTTGTTGCCTGTCTCTTCTTTATCCCTAACCATGCCTAATGACCAGTCCGAACAACTATCTGGCAACTCACCATCTGAAGAATTCAACTGCACCACAATCCCAAGCAAACTAACCACCACTCAACCTCTTATTCCATGTAGCAGAGCTATAGCATACGAGTAGCCGAGTAACCTGGAACCGTCCCGCAAGACCAAGAAGTGACCAAGAAGTCAACCGGTTTACGCAAGCTGGTTAAACAGATATTGGATTTTGGGTCGGAATCCAGGAAATACATGAAATCATACCACGAAACCTAAAAGCCAGCTTTAAGAAAACAACTGGTGCATACAACCTAGCAAACAAACATTGGATTCATAACCTACTTACTGGCAAAATTTGTTATAGTTAACCAGTAATGTCTTTGCAACCTTAAGCGCCATTACTGATTGAGTTGGAGTTAATGATGGTTTTAGTGTGAGTTACCTTAATTCTTGTCGTATGCTTCATTTTGTCATCACTTCGTCATCGGATGATTTTTTGACATCCCTTGTATTTCTTTCAACAGAAACTACAGGAATGCTGCTACCATCATAGCGCAGAAAACAAAGATTGACGAGTTAATGAATATGAAAATGATGAAAGGAGACTTATGGTATGCGTTTTGAATTCCCAGTAATGTGCCTTTCAGGTATATCCTTTCTATTAGCTGGTGGACAAAGTGGGTGGGTTTTGTAAACCTGGTATACGAGACTGGGTTGGTCGACGAAACCTCTGAGGACTATCCAGGAGAAGTTGACAACAGTGACATTATAAGTAAGAGACTATTCTAATATGTCTCATTTTAATTCAGGTGACGGAAAGTTAAAAGAAGGTTTGCTGTTAGAAAACGACATCACACTGATACCTGAAGACGCCTGGAAACTGTTTGTCGATTTCTATGGTTGTGTCCACAAAGAAACATCAGTTTTTGAACGTCGTGCTATTCAAGCTCCAAAGTCTGTGGAAGTTGAACTCTATCCACCTCACTATTCATTTTACCTGAATTCGCCTAACTCTAGTTCGACATTTATTTTTGAAGGAACCTATTGCAAATTTCAAACAATCCGTATGTTGCAACTACTTACATTCATCTTTTTAGGAGACCTTAAGCTGGTGGTTGCACAACATCTTAAGATAGCACCCAGTGTGAATCTTCGGCTCTTAGTGCATGGTGAAAGAAATGAATTTGAAGAACTGGATGATGATGATGCGACCATTGAAGAGGCCAGTTTGGAGTGCGAAAAAGTAAAATTTCAGTGAGCTGTACTATATGCGAAATAGAGTTATTAATAAAAGTGTAGGGGAGTCAGCTAGAATCCTGACAATGACAGGTGACCGTAGAGTTGGTTGTCATTAAAGTTCAGCAAGTCTAACTGTGTGAATTAAGCGCACTCACTAAGTAATGAATTCACACTAGTCAAATTAGTTGTAGATCTTCTGCCACTGTAAGGTAACAAATATGAGAAGCCTGTGTTCAGTATTCTTAGTCTTTGTTGCACATACATGTAGTAACTTCGTCAAGTGACTTTCTATTTTCGCTTTGACCAGTGTATAAATTTATTGTTTTGCCGACGGTCCACTTAAAGTACGCTATATGTTGCACTACCCGTTCACGTAATCCAGAAATTATTCCTCTATCTTGACAACTGTCGTTTTTTGATCATTGATTTTCACCGTCGTCTATGGCTTCTGCTTTCACACCACATCACTACCATCTACACAATCTAATGTGTATCTAGACTTCAGGTCATCTCATCCAATATCACACAAAGCAAATTTAGTGAAATGTTTAAATAATGTAGGCATTAAAACTCGCAAGTAAATCCAAAGACAAATGAGGAATATAAAAATAATTAGAACACTGCTAATAAATTATCTTCCAATAAATTAGTAAGCACATATAAGAAACAAAGTAGTAATAGTGATATGTTAGAAAACAGTCCAAGTCTTTTATTGTTACCATATGAAGATGAAACATCAGGGATTTTAAATAGAATTCTCAACAAGACTGGATATAAAGTCGCATTCAAATCTACAAACTTACTTGAAGTTCAGACAGACAGAATCAACCTAGAACCTTGCACACAAGTGCATTGGTTCAAATTGCCACACTTCACATTAGTATACAAAGAACAAGTAGATAAAAAAGTGATATTAATGTAGATAAAATTGTGAGACAATAAGCAATTTGAAGATAAATGCTAGGGCGAATGTTCAAGCTTTAAAAGACGACAGAGTGAATACATGTGCACCACTGCGACTGACTTCCAACTGTCACCAAGATTTCTCAACCACTAATTCCTGTCGTCCCGGGGAACCCACATGACTCAGACCAACAGTCTGGATCTTCATCGACTGGTTTCACATCTTGGTCTGACCACCTTGAACCCTCTTTTGACCTAGTCCGACTTCCCCTAGCATGGCTCGTCGAGGTAGGAGGTGACTAGGCGTACGCAACACATGTTCAAGCCATCCCATTCGACTAAGATTAACAAGTTCATCAATTGACTTGCCTGGTACCCTTTGCCTGACATCAACATTGCTCACACGGTGATTCCACCAAACCCAAGAAATTCTACAAAGACAGCTATTATCAAAACCCTGTAACCGCTTCATGTCTTCTACTTTTGACCGTCAAGTTTCACAGCCGTATAAAAGAACGAACTACAACATAGCATATTCGCCCTTTGGTAGGTAGTCGGATATCTCGCCAGTCTGCACCGGGGATAACGCAAGTTAGCAAATGCCGAATGGGCCTTTTATCTTCAGGTTGGGATTTCGTCAGCAACCAGCCCGTTTGGGCTGATGCAATTTTCCTGTTGAAGTAGTCGACGCATTACATCACTTCACTCTATCATGAAACTGCAAATAGTTGCTGACCGGTCCTGAATCATCTTACATTTGACAAGTGTCAGCGAAACTCATGCTAAGCATACTCAGGTTTCTACTCAATGTGTCCAGAAGACCCTGCGTTTTTTCAGCGTCTTCACTTAGCAGTATAATATCATCTGCATGCTCCAGGTCAACCAGATCTCCTCCAGGAAGTAGATCAATTCCTGTGAAGCCAGACACACCTAAGGTTATATGAATTATTATACATAAAATGAAGTTAAGTAGGAACGGTTACAGCAGGCATCCCTAGCGAAAACCACTAGTTGTCGTCAGTTCACATGACAACTCTCCACAAGCCCTTATACCGCTAGGTGACTCTGAGTAGAAAGCTTTGATTAGCGTTACTTTCTCGGTACTCCCTTCACAGTCAAACACTCACAACACCGCATTATCGACTAAGTCAAACGCCACCTTCGGGTCAAGAAATATAGCAAGTGTCGGTCGCCGGCAAGCATGCCATCATTCCATGTTGGAGCGTGGAAATATGACCGATGCACCCTCGACAAGGTCTGAAACCTGCCTGGTTTTCTCGAGTTTGCTGTTCTTGAGCCCTAGTTGGGCGTTGGATAACTATGGATACAAGAATCTTAGAAACAGTATTGGTCAAACTAGTTCTACTGTTGTTTCAGGAAGACTTCTCTCCCTTATATACTGGGGTGTTTAGAGAAGTGCACCAGTCTGACGGTATTACCTCTGATTCTCATACACTACCTAGTAACTCCGTTACTTCAATTAGCAATTTCCTACTACAATCCTAGAAAACCGACTGGCAGACTGTTAGGTCCTGCTACTTTGTACAGTTTTAGTTTCGGTACAGCCTTCTCAATATCAAAAGAAGTTGGGTGACCTACGTCTACCTCCTATTCACGTTCAGACTGGATGTTGGGGAACTGGAGCGTTACTAAGGGCTAGTTAAATTGTTTCAAAGTGCTCTACTCAATGTTCTAGTCCTCTGTCCTATGAGGTTATCAGCGTTCCATCCATTTCGGTAATGGTTTCCCTCACCATCGTCTTCTCGCTGGTATCCTTAATAATCTTAAACAGCTGCTGTTACCCAATGCTGTTGCCTTCTCCATCTCTCCTGCTTTCGCCACCGACCATCGCTCGCGACCAGTGTGATGACTTTGTCAGTTTTTGTGTGAGTAGCTTTCTCTATTCATCGTGATCCGAGGCAATTAGAATCAGTCTTCTCGCACCAATCAGTTCGGATGACGTCGCGGAGATCCATCGACGTTCACTAAGCTTCAGGTGTAGATTACCAATTGTCTTTACCGCTGTTTCTGCATCAGACTTAATATGACACCAGGTTTCCCTAAGATGATGATCTTAGCTAACTCCTTAAATACGTATTTGGGCTCCTCGTCTTCCAATCGAGAATAGACAAGCTGTACTATCACCTGTTTCTTGCGACCAGGAGGACACAGACATACACGAGTCCATACTAGCGCGTGATCAGAGTCCAAACTGGTACTCCAAAAAGAGCGACAATCCTCCACCGATCCTCTTCAACGATAGCTCATAGCAATATGATCGATCTGCGTCCATCATTGGTTTGATGTCGACAGGTGCCATGCGTGACAGTATTTCCCTTTATGCTTGAAGTTGGTGTTGTCCAGAAACAAATATTTGTCAGAGCGACTTTACAAGAGACGATCAACGTTGTCGGTTCGTTGGCAGGGGATGCAGTAAATACCTCCCGGATGCTTTTCCTATTGGCTCAGTTTCCCTACTTGAACGTTGACGTCTCCTGCTATTATGACTATGTCTGAAAGTTTTGCTTTCTGCAGCAAAGTTGGTCACATTTGACCGAGTTCTTTTTTTGCATCATCCGGCGGGCCTGTAGTCAGAGGTTATGAGCAGGTATCTGGATATGTCACGACCCTTCCTAGTCCTTACAGATCCATTCAGTCGAACAGCACATAAATGGCTGTTGACTAGTATCCAGCCTAAGAGCTCACTTTCTGCCCTACAGCTCAGTGCTACGCTTACACCGGGGAGTCCTCCAAAGTGATCGACTGGGTCTCCGGATACTCTTGTGGGGAAGTTTAGAGATTCACAACTGTGGCCAGGTGAGGTCAGCTCAGTAACCACACTCGTGTCCTGTATACGTGTCCGAAAGACAGCATACACCTATGGCGAGAGATTCAAGAGTTCTGGCGAGCGCTGCTGTTTTGTTTGATATAGAGTTTGAACATCAGAAGCTCTTACATAAAATCGAAGTCGGGTTCATAGGAGACTAGGAATGAAGTTTCGATGCCTTTGATCGTTGGCAATGGTCACTAAATGAGATGTTGGGGAAGATATAAAGGGCTAAAAATAGTATCAGGAGGTGAAAGCAAAGGAGGAGACAGTTGAAGAGGATAAGTCAGGTTTGATTGAGTCTTGTGTACTGCTGGAAGCGTGCGGGCAGTTGACACTTCCTGGTAGTCCACACCGTGGAAGACTAGTCCTTTTTAAGGTGTTTAAAAAAGGAAGGATCGTGTGTGACCGCAGAGCCCCTTGGGACATTTACTTGAGATCGGTCATATAGCCTTCTTGCAAGTTTGGTTTTGGTTTTTTGCTTTCGAATCCGACTGTAAATCCCTGTTGAAGGCATCGAGGTGCAGCAAAAGGGTGAATGCGCTATTTTTGCGGCCTACCTTATCTAACCCACCTTCCAATTGGGAAGCATCATACTTGCACTGCTGGTCATCCAAAGGAAACATCTCACTGCTAACACACCCCTGTGCAGTCAGCAGTACAACTTTGTCCTCAGACCCCTATCGTAGCGTAACAATTAACGCTATAGTGGCAACTGCTTTTTCTTTAACCACTATCCAACAGACCTTTCTAGCATAGTAGGAAACAAACGTCCCAACACAACAGCTCGTTGAATCATTGTGATATACAAGCGCGAGCGCCACGTTGAGGTAGCAGCTATCGGTCGTCAGGCATACACTATTGGTTTAGGGATCTTATTTACCCAGTTAAACAAGACAATTTCATCCACCAAGTACTATGTGATGCGTGTAAGGCGAAATATACAAGTCAAACCAACCGATTGGAGCTTGGAAACTTTCCAGGTGTAGGCGACAGACTCCATTAAGACCAACATTCGAGAAAAGTCCCGGCTATTGCAACACATGCATATAATAGGGTAGGACAAAGCAACTGTACTCAAATGCAATATTGCTTGCGGGAGACTGGTTTCCGAATCTGTTAATCGAATTAAATCCCAAAGCATGGAACGGGGGTGACGCAACACCTGTACCAAAGATATGGAGAGTTTTACTACCGCTGAAAATACGTGATAACTGTAAAAATAGGATGTCGAAAGTTGTGTGGTTACTTTAATGTGATTATGATCATTATTTATAATCAAAACGCCATCAAATAAATAATACTGTGTCACTATTGGTTGTATTGAATAGAAAAATCTAATATGTCATTGCATTCTACCAGTGAACAGACTTTACACGTAATAATGTGTTTCTTAAAGTTGCGTGAGATTACGATTGATCTTCGGGGTTATTTCAATGCGTAGTCCCAAGTTTGGTCCTACTGTTACTGACTTTAAAAATTTCATCTTTTAACTAAACGATTATAGTTTATGTGTTTGACGTGGACGCTTTTTTCAGTAGTGTCAACTTTCAAAATGTTCTACCTAGTAGTATGTGGAGTTCCTGAAATCCTTTGTACTGATTTTTAGTACAATCAAATATGCGTGTTGCTTCCAGAAACCAAATCATTTTTTTGCATCGTAAAAACCGTATCTTTCGTGGGAATGTAGAAGGTAATTCAATTATGGACACTTTTCAACCCATTTGTTTCTAAGTAAGTATGCACAACTGCTATGACCCGAATCGATTGTTAGAGATTCTAGATGATGCGACTTAGAATCTATCGCAGTGGCGCAGGCACATTTGCGCATCTCCCTAATTGTCATTCGCCTTGTATGCTCTTCGGCTCTCTTCACAGTTACTATTTTGACTAGGTATGTTATGTTTCTCTTCCATCTTAATGTTTTGAACCATGATACGTAAGTTTTGACAACTTTAACTGTCCTACAGTATTGTCAGGTACCATGTTGATATTGATTTAATGACTAAGTAAGGGGTGGTCTGATGACAGTATAAGTGGAGCTGTGACTGACTGATTCATGCAGTTGACTTTCAACCAGTGGGTCATGAGTTCGAACACACTCCACCTACTACACTGTGGGCAGTCGAAAAGTATCCTTAGCCTTCACACAAGAGGTGTAGCCTACTACCTACTGTACGAAAGTGCACACAGTTGGTGTGTGCACTTCAATTTTTAATTTCAGCATAGATGGTTTTGTTAAGTTTTGACCCTTTATACTCTTCAACGTCTTACAAGTGTGCAAAGTTTGTTATTTTCATCTTAAGAAAGTCTTGACCATGGTATCCTATTTGTTTTGGGTGCCATATTTCAGCACTTTTGATCAGAAATTCACAGGTTGGATAGACACTGTAAAAATAAATACAATAGTTATAGTCGATGAAAAACGTATTCCTGATGAGGTTTCGACTTATCAGCATCATCACAGAGTGAATAATTGCTTCATCCACCGAGGGTTGCAAGCAAGGTATTGTAATAGACCTTCAAACCTTGCCACTAAATAATCAAGGTTTTACTTAACCTCATTCAAATCAGCCTGCTGCCGATAGCCATTCTTGTCCCCCATTTTTCAGCAGCTGATCAGTTTAGATTGGGTTGTTGTCCCACCATGTGGACATCGTACGCAAAGGTTTCAAGTGTTTAACCTTCGTCTTATACGAAACGACTTCAAAATTTTCCTGCATTTACATGTAATGTGAATTGAAAGAGTTAGTTGGAAAACCTTATTGAATGATTATTACTTCGATGTCAGTTGCAAAACGATGTCAAACTAAAACGTTTATGTACTAATTTTCTTGTGTTGTTGTTGTGAAGCTCATCTTACCATGCTGTTTTGAAAGTTCATCGTTAAACTCAGTTGCCACGAAATATTTGCGAGTATCCGACTTGAGGTGTTCTGCTGTACGATGCCAGGATTTTTCAGCTTTTGATGAGTCACAGACAAACAAAGGTCGAATAGAACCTTTCACAAAGATGAATCAGTTCGAGTTGCCACATTTAACAGATTCAGTTGATAAGGCCATCAATTATTGAATCAGTTACCAGTTTCCAGATATGTAGTATCTGATTCTTGGTTGACTGTTCGAGGGAAATACAGATTTCTTATCAAGTGACGGTTTGAGTGACTAAAGCAACTCACTTTTTATAAAAACAGTTGCATATACAGACCATTTTTACGTCATTTTGCACTATTAAGACGGTGAACAGAAACTTTCTCATAATCATATTCAGGGCATTCAGAAGATCAATCTTTATTGGCAAACGGGCTCCTGGGAGGATGGTCTGATACTGCCTGTACTTCCAGTTTTGATATTTATGATGGATATTAGCTAGCAGTGGAATCCAGGGTACGCGTTTCGTCCCGTTTGGTACTCGTCAGCTGGGTCTACCTGCTTCCCAGTGAGCAGTGTTGTTCCAGTCAGGACTCGAGCCCGGAGCCACTCGCTTCAAGCGCCAGAGCATTACCCACTAGGCCACCGAGTCACGATGGCCACTTATGCAACGGGTATAGTTTTAATGTCGTTGCTTGTATTATCCCGTCGTTGATTGGACTGAATTGAGCGGTCTCTGTGTTGGCTTGTGGGCTCCTGGTCATGTAATGCGCACACATGTTCAGCTGACGAGTCGCAAACGGGACGAAACGCGCGTCCTGGATTCCACTACTAGTCAGTATCCATCACTACTATGAAAATTGGAAATACAGACAATATCAAGGTATCCGCGCCGGAGACCATTTACCAACGACGGGATAATACAAGCAACAACATTAGCACTATACCCGTTGTATAAGAAATGGCTATCGTGATTCGATCGTCTAGTGGATAACGCTCTGGCGTTTAAAGCGATCGGTCTCGGGCTGAAACCTTAGTGAGGACAATACCGCAGTCTAGGATAAGTCTCAAACAGGACGAAACGAGCGTCCTGGATTCCACTGCTAGCCAGTCCCATTATTATTATTATTATTATTATTATCGAATAAACACTATATTTGATTTATCACTACCTTCTCTAGCGTTGTGTTACGTTTTCAGTAAAAGAGTTAGTGGGTTAAACGACATGATTTTTGGTAGGTTCTGTATCCACGTAACAAGCTTTATACACAGCATATAGACTAGGTGTAATTTTCGATAGTTACAGATAAACAAATCACCCATTTTATTTCCTACTCGTATATTTCTTCCCATTTCTAGCGTCTTATATCTGTTCTAAGTCGTCTTTTTGTTGTAGTATGAACCCAAGTAAACAAACTCGGTAAGATTGTGAATCTGCATAAATGGATATGTTTCAGACATAGGTCACGTAGTTTTAACCACTGTTCACTTCTGGTCAGCTTAGAAGCGAGACGAAGAAAACTTCAGACCCAAGCGCCGACAAATTATGAAGCTGCAAACTAATCTGAATTGTGTGCCTACCCATAGGTTTTGTTGTTGGAGTTTGCAGAGTAGTGTTAACTGTTCTTTGTAGTTTAAACCTGTTTGTACGTTTTTTCATATCCTTTCAGTTTATCTTAACATTTTACTGGTCTGTTCTTCATCTGGTTTCGAAATAAGAAATTTTAAACTGCGGAATTGTCAGTTTCCACTTTGTATTAGTTGATCAGTCGTTATCCTTGATTTACGACTTAGTTTCACCAAGTAATTCCCACAATAATTTTGGGTCTTGAAATTCTTATTTTCAAATTTTCGGGTCTTTGTTCTGATATAGCTTTAACGGTCAGAGGTGTATACCTCCATACCTCTAAATAAATAAGTAAGACAACCTACGGAACATTAAGCGTTTCTGCAACTATAATATATTATTCTTGCCCATTAAGGTACTCGTTGACCTACACGACTTTTATCAACAGCTGGTGCACATAGTCGTATGTGATGTCTTTGGATTCAAGAATCTGACCACCTATAACTTTTACTTTTATTTACATATGTTGATGCCATAGCCTTACTGGTATTCATATGGAAACCGCATTTTTCGTCAAATGGGTATAAGTTAACTTTTTTTGCGCACCGAATAAACTACAATTTTCAGAACTGCTGTTATATCCCCACCATAAAATGTATTTGTGAGCGAATCTTATTTGTGTACTTTTACTTTATCTATAAGTATGATTATGTTACTGTCTTTCCTAGGTTATTTATGTCCAGTTAGAGTCTAGAAATGGAATACATACAGAGTAAGTAACATATTACCCTTTTTGATTTGCGTTTTAAATTATTGGAATTGTGAGATAAAGTCATATTAAGTAGTATGTCCGAAGATTATTCATCGATTAACCAGTTAGTGTTGTATGTCAGGGATGGATTGTTACAAACTAAGCTTTTCGAATCAGATTTAGATGACTCCATCCAAATTGCTGCTGCTGTGTGTGAAATCGATAACTGGACTAGCGTTTAAACTTCTCTGTTTTCTAGCAGAGGAGATTAAATGAGCAGTCCTTTATTAAAATAATTTAAAAATCCTCGATGAATTGTCGAAAAGCAAAATATTTAGGAAATGAATTTTTTTTCGCCAAAATAACTTCCACACTACGAAACATCAAAAACTGCTGTAAAACTACACCGTTGCATAAGTAATAACAGTCGCAACCCAGCAGCCTAGTGACTGATGTCTGCTGCATATATATATATATATATATATATATATATATATATATATATATATATATATACTGTAACCTGAAGTACAATGTTTACAATTGTTTATTGATGCTTTCAATTTCCCGTTGCTACACTGGATCGAATAGCTCATCCTCTGTTGGCAGATGGGCTTCTATCTGGTTGCCTCGATACTACCCGATTATTCATAAGATTGTAGCATATTTGATGGTTGGTAGGGGAATCCGGGATGCACTTTTCGTCCTATTTGGACCTCGTCCCCCACTTGGGCTAAACTACATTCAATTTATTTCTGTCCTTGGTTATTTCAGCGTAATACTTTTTAACTGGCGTCTCAGTAATTAGTGCTGACAAACTTTTGTACAAGCTTCATCGAATGGTTGTCACTAATCATTTCCTTATCTATCCCTTCAAATATGGACTCACTATACTAATTACCAGGAATAGCCGCATAAATTTCATTTCTGTTTTACTCTTCGTTTGTGAGTCAGCGGCACGCATACAGTCTGGTATTATTGCATGGCGCTCCAAGTTGTTACACTACATCAGACCATCAAGTTACAGGGTAACAAGGACAGAAAATGAAGTAGTTTAATCGGAAATGAGGAACGATGAAATAAGGAAAAACCATTAAAGCAAAGAGCTAAATGTGATATAATACGGTTAAGATTGAAGATGAACGTGTCTGCACCGCTATGATCCATTCTGTGACTTACAGTCTAGTCTAAAAATGTGGGTTTCAGTTTTCTTCTGGATCCAAACATGGAGACCATTACTTTCCTACACAGTCAAAGTTATGGTAGATACCTTGGTGTTAGTTATGTTCTCTGTTTAAGTTAATGTTATGTGGGTCTCATGTTTTATTGAGAACTTTCAAGATATACGTGCGTCTCCCCATCAACTTAGTTGAAATTGTTGCAGAGTTTGTGAGTTTTTATTGCTTAGACTGCTCAACCGTCAGTCGCTAAAGTTGAGCCTTAAAGTAGCTTATTCGGCTAACTTTTTATGTCAGTGAAATCATTTTGACAGCACTAGTAAAATAGTTGCAAGATCTTGTAAGTGACTCGTTTGTATGACTATTAGATGATATCTGTTGTGTTCAAACAAATTATATTCTCTCACATTTCAACTGGACAAATGCGAGTCAATTGAGCGTGATATCAGTATTGCGTATCGTTCATACACCTAAGTCTCCAAATGTTTCTCTTCAGAATGTTATTTACGTCTGCATAAATTGATAATATGCCATTCTGAATCTGAAATATATTGTCTTCCTGAATTAAATAATAATAATAATAATAATGTACGGTCTTTTAAGCAGCTTGGTATCTAAAATCTTCATTTTTCTCTCATTTAATGTATCAAAAAGTATTCAGTGTATTTAGAAACTAAGAACCCATCCACAACAAATACTTAAAGTCAAGTACTGCGTATACTACTTTGGATTTATATTTGAATGTGCATTTATTTTGTTCTGTTACTCTACTTCTCCACCTGCAGGCCACCGATGGAGAGCTCGCGTATCAAGCTAAATGACAATTTAGGGTCCCGATCTGAATCTCAACTACTATCCTTACATGGATCAACTCCACCGTTAATACCAGGAGTCTGTGGTCTCAATAATTTAGGAAATACTTGTTTCATGAATAGTGCCATTCAGTGTATGTCTAATGTCCCTGCATTGACCAGTTATTTTCTAAGTGGAAAATGGGCATCCGAACTAAACTTACGCAACCCACTTGGATCTCAAGGAAGAATCGCTACTGCTTATGCTGATCTCATTAAACAACTATGGTCTGGCACGAGGCCGTATGCTGTCCCTCGTGAATTCAAGGTTTGTTTAATTAAGTTATTTGTTTGCAAATGTAACATACTGTAATGCGTTAGTGACAACTCGCCGGGCATGTCTTTATACTTTCACAAACAGGTTGCAGTGGAGAAGAGAACTGAACACTAGAAACTTTCTAGTTTGTACTAAGGGTCCTTTTCACCAGAGTTGTGAAACCCAGTTGCCAGCAAAGTTCTATTAATTGTAGCCTTAACTTCGACTATCATGTAAGTACTTACTTAGTAAAGTCACTTCTTTTGACCCATTTTTTAGTCTTTAAGTGAGTTATCTTGAAACAACTGATGCGCTTTTATACGACATCAAGGATTTCATTTTACTTTAACCATCAACCCCTCCCCAACTATCTTATTTTAAAAGAGACTGTCATAAATAAAACCGAGTTAATCAATAGTTTTTCGACTGTTCTCTGAGAATTAGGGTTTTGCTGGTTGACAGACCACATGATGTGGCATACTTTTCGACTAAATCTCTTTATAAACGGTATCTTTCTCACTCCACATCATAAAGTAAAAGTCCTGAAACCGAAACTGATACCACTTTTTATATTTCGGTGTACGATATTAATGCCCATATCCTACACCTGCATATCTTTCTACAGCTATTGTAATGAGCAGGCCTGACATCTTAGGTAAATACAAGTGCATGGGTATATACCCTTTTTCCACAGTATACTGCCGACCCATCGCCTACCTTTACGTGACATGCTAGGGAAGGTTGGATTGGGTTGAAAGAGGGTTCAGGGTGACCAAGCCAATACATGGCACCAGTCGGCGAAAATTCTAACTACTGGTCTGAGTCGTGTAAAGCGACGCAGACAACCCAATTGGGGTCCCCGAGACGAAGGGAATCAGTGTTTGAGAACTCTTAGGGACGTCTAAAAATTGGTAACAATGGCGCACATGTATTCACTCTTTGACATATTCTAAAGCTTGAATATTTTCGCTAACCTTTGTCTTCAGACAGTTTATTCTCTCACACTACTTTATCTACTTTGATATCAGTCTTTTTCTATCCACCTGTTCTCTGTGTACTACTGTAAAGTGTGGCAACGGTCACATGTGTGTGAGGTTGGTTTTGTCAACCAGTCAGTCACAGTATGTAATTATAAAGTTCTGTGTTCCATGCTGTAAACCATACAGAGTGTGTAGTCCCACTGTACTACCTCGGCTTCAATAAACCCAAAGAAGTTTGAACTTGTAACACACTTATTGACAGATGGATGCCTTAGTCAATAAACCGCAGCTCTGCACTGGAAATCCATCCAGTAAACCTCCTCTCATTCTCGGTTGATCGTAACCTTGTAGCGGTAATATAACTCATCATTCTCAGTGTCTGCCCGTCACTCGGATACTATTTTTATTTTCTTGAGTATTTTAAGTTTCGTATTGATAAAACTTGTTATAAAAGCTATGTCTATTGCTTATAGTTTATATATACGACACGATGTATGAGGCTCAGTGAGTAGTCTTAAGCCTTGAATAATTTCTTGAACTGCGTAAAGAAATACTAACTGCATCTATGTACAAGTGGGATGGAAAATTGTGTTACGTAAGGTTATAATAGTTTCCAAATCCTGTTGGTAAACAAGTAATATCTTCAACGAATTTGTTCGCTTTTTGTTAGGACATGTACTAAAGTCGTCCGTTATTGTACATTGTAAATATGAAAATCGTAGGAATTCTTGGTACTTGGTTGCATTTTCAATGCAGTACATTTAGTAGTTACAATAAACCAAACTTTTATTAAAGAGATTCATGTTCAGCTAACTGAGGAAGTGTTTGTCGATGCTAATTTCTTTTCAGATGTAACTTACATTGACGTTTGATGATTATTCCTTAGTAGTCCTATTTAAAACACACGTTTCACTTACATATTCTTTTGGTAAGATCATTCTTACTATATATGCACGTTAAACAGTGCGCTTGGGAAATCAGTATGATCATCTAGTTGTCGATGTTCATTCTTACTACTATTATCACGTGAATGATACCTTCACTTGCATTATACTACTACGTTTCTGAATAATGTCTCTTTTACTTGGTTGTGGCCAGCAGAGAAACACAGGATATGCATTTCATCCTACTTGGGACTCGTCGACTGGATTTACCTGCACCCCAGTGAGGGGTGTTATTCTCAATAGGATTCAAACCTCGCACCCATCGCCTCAGACGTTAAGGCGTTATCCACTAGACCACTGAGACACGATAAACACCTCTCATACAACGGGTATTAGTTATTCATATTTGTTTATATACTTGTAATTCCCCGTTGTAATCCTGGATCGACTTGTTTGACCTCTGTTGGCATGGGAACCCATATCCCAATAGAGGTCGAACAATTTGATGCAGTATAATAACGGAGAATTAAAAATATATCAACAAATAGTAATAATGTCTCTTTTGTTTGTTGCATTCTGTTATCCAACCGATTTAATCTACTTACAATAAATCCACAAAACTTGTATTGTTTAGTAATATTCATGTATAATCGTCGCTTTATTTGATAGGATTTTCATATTGTTTCCTATATCCTTAGAAAATACTTTGAAATTATGCATTAAATAGACTAGTTTTATATTTATTTCTCCAGTTTTTGTTGTGTTACAACATTTTAATCCCTCAATATATTTATTTACATACAGTACTATTATACAACATAATTATTGTTTAACTAATTTCATCAATCAATCGATGTTTTAGATTGAAATCGCACGTATTGCTCGTCAGTTCTCGGGGTATGCTCAACACGATACTCACGAATTACTCGTTTTCTTGTTGGATGGACTTCATGAGGATTTGAACAGAATTCAGTCTAAGCCATACATTGAAGTAAAGGATTCCGATGATAGACCGGATATTGTAAGTTAATTATTGCATCTTATTCACTTATAGTAAGCTGACACTCAGTGTTTTCCTGTTTTTACGATATTTTTTAGTATTCATATTATAATTTTTGTTTTGGCCTGACTAGCTCCAGTTATTTTGTGTGAGTTATTGACATGAAATAGCCTCAGTTATGGCAGATTACCTTTATTCTACTTCCCTTCTAAGGGCACTCGTCATCCATGCTTGATATATTAACAATATAGGACAAAATATGTGAATATTCAGCTGACTAAACATTGTATACTCTATACTATGTAATCTAGAGCTTTGACTCAAGGTCTGGATTTCTGATCTCCAACTATTGGGTTACAAGTCTGGACTTCTTTCTACTTTAGTCTTCGAAGCTAGGTCGCATCATAAATCGTTATACATTAAGTGTGGCTTGTAGTTGAGTTGCACTGCATTATACCAACCAATTTTACTACGGTTTATTGTTAAGATTTGCGGTTTTCTGTAACAACTGTTTTCTTTTACCATTCTATCATCTTTCGGGGTTAGGTGGTTCTGAGTTTACGTATTTACGAACGATCTTCAAGGTTGCTCAAAGTAGTGCAAGTTACTTTTCGAAAATGATGGTTACAGCTTATGAAATGTGAATTAGTAAAATACTGCCAACAGTCGTATTAGATGCCTTTTCCTTTTCGTTACTAGTCGATACTTGTAGGTGACCGATATCTATACTGGACTATTTGACAATTTTGGTAGCACTTGTTAAGCAGAATGAAAGGATAGTTATTTACTTGTTCGAAATAAATCTCTTTAGTTGTGAAATGAGTTCAATTTAGTTGAGATGTGTATGAAAATAACACGATGTGTTTCTTTCAAGACTTACTAGTAACTTGTGGTTGTCTTCATTTTGTCAAGTGTCAAATCGAATCCATCGTACAGTTTAATAGATGACTTTATCGTAACCCATTTTGGATGTTAATCCTGGAATAAAATCCAATGATGTTTCACGGACTGACCGCTTTCCAAGAAATGTTGATTGTTTTATCAAACCTAAATGTACTCACAAGATTTAAAGAAGTCTTGAAATTCTCATCAGCTGTTTTAATGTGCAGTAGATGCAAATTATTCACCTTCATCGAAGGTTTAGCTTATATCCTTCTGTGCCATCTATTTGTCACTTATTGAGAAAATCGGCCTTTTTAACCAGCATTTTACAAGTTGGAATTTGAAAACCTTTATTCTAGATAGGTTTAGATTTACTCGTCAAATTGGTTGGATATGCTGGTCACACTAAATACCCTTACTTGTGTGAAATATGGCCATAGTTGTGTCAGGACTCCGCTGAAACTGTTATATGGTTAGGAATTGTCCTAATTTATCTTTTAATCAGTTGATCAGCCAATGACTCTTTCATTACTTTTAGTTTAGTAATGGTAATGTGTAAATTATCGTTACCTCATGTTGTATATTTTGTACCTCAGTAAGCGTTTTGTTTTATTCTATATTAGGCTTTGATGACTAGTTATTGCCTTCTTATGTTTTAATTTGGGAAGCTCTGATGTTAGATACTCGCTTTTTTTGAAGTGCTTATCACTTGGTTGTATCATGAAAACGGATGATGGTTAGAAGTGTCGCTACTTTTCAACAACTTGACTCGAAAATGCCACAAAATTAAATATTTTTAACGACACCATTTTGGGAAATTTGAACATTCGCAAAATTCATAATCTAGCTCCATCAGCCTACTCCCTGAACAGCTAATCCACCGGTTCACGTAACCAAAACTTATATATACATATGAATTTTCGCCCTGATCACTATCAATTTGGAATGATGGTAAACGCGTTTAATTTCCTCCCCGGTTTTTCTTGTTCTGACATGCTAGTGGCTAGACTAAGGATCAAATTAGTGTCCATGACTTTGTCTTTTGTGTATCTATCTGAGTATAACGTATCAAATCGTGTCCCTCTCTTAAATTCAAATCATATAAGAGACAGAGACAATCAAGTCAACGTAGAACCTTACACAAAATTACCTCGTTTCACAACAGGACACAAAAAAGAATTGAATTCACAAAGGATGGTGTCGAGGTAGACAAAGTGTATGAAGGGACAGAGGGTAAATATATGAAAGTGAAAATATGCAGAATTTCGAAATCAATAATTGGTTGCTTTTCCGCCATTGTGGGCGATTTTCAGCCATATCACCACGAGTCTGCTTCCATATTGCTCCTGAAAATTTCAATGAACTCGGCCAGTCAATCTCAACTTTCACAGATTCAGAATGCGAATCAGAGACCTCATAAACTACTATCGTAACTTGCATGTTTGTCAATTTTAGATTTCTTCAGACGTAATCCTAATTTACTTTATTTGGCACGTCAAGTTAGGCAGTGACTCAGCATTCACAACACCTACCAAAGCCACTTCAGTCAGTTACAGTTCATAAGTTGCTGATCTTTTCCTGACCTCAAGCTTTCCCAGTCGGTTGTCCTACCAAAGGGGAGCAGTGCTACGGTGACACATATTCAGAAAGCCGTTTCTTTCCTGTCTTCTACCTTTATTTACCATACATACAACAGAATGAACAGCTGCGTCCTTTGTTAAGTATTCCGATATCTGACCTTGCTTAGAAATGACATAAGCAGGCAATTAGTGAACGAACCTGTTGTACTCAAGCTACGATCGACTAGCCCATTAAGGCTATATCATGCAATGATTTCACTCAAACAATCTGTTACGACACAACGCTATAGATAACGGCACAACGCTCCGAGACGATGCGACTAACGATAAAGCAACGACTTCTCCTTTCGGTATTCAGCTGATACCAGATGAAGACGATGAGATTGAAAGTTTATTTACTCCAACTAAATCATGATAGGTGAAAACTCAGTCGTTATCCTTAGATGGCGTTGACCAGAGAAAACAAAATAGCATATTCAAAGTGTAAAATGGACCTATCAGCGTTTAGTATCCTAAACTGAGGTAACAATAAGCAACACAGCATGGCTGAAAAAGGGTGCGAGAATAAGGCTTAAACTTTACAATGATAATATAAACATATTATAAGTTAGTTTTCTTAGCGATTACCCATCCCTAACATCTCCCCCTTTTCCTGAAAAAATTGGGTTTGTTACTTGGGATCTAGCTGGAACCGAACTGTCCGATTTCTGCACCGATCTGACCAACGTCGCGGTAGTAGTTCTTTGTTCATCGGAGATTTTGTGGTTTCCTGGGCATCTCCTGTGCGTAGTACCGCAAACGTATCCAGTAGGATTTCTAGTGAGATGCCATTGGGTTTTATTTCTTCGACTGGTTATGCTCGGTATCGTAGTTGGTTTTCATGTCGCGTCAAGTTTCTGTTCCCACTGCCACATCATATATCACGCAGCCGCGTCTGTCGATAAGTACTCCTTTATTCCATTTTTTATGTCTTGGTCTATAGTTTCTGGCGAATACTGGCATTTCGATCTGGAAGTACGTTTGACCTACTGGTAACCTTTTCGGCTGTTCTTTCGCAATCAAAGCATCACGGGTCGTACGTAATTTTCTCCCCGTTAGTGCTTCTGATGGACTCTGGTAATCTGGGAGTGAGTCGGTTGCTGTTCTTCGGTACAAAAGTAGGAAGTTTTGAATTATGTTCAGTGATGTACCTGCCCCCTCACCCCGTGCTTTCAGTAGAGAACCCTTTTGAACATATCGACAAAACGCTCCGCCTGTCCATTGGACTGGGTTCAGGATCTTGCCAGGGCATGGATGATAGTCGTGGAGGATGCTTGGCGGCTTGTTGACATCCTGAACTCTGGTTGACATAGTCTGTGATTTGATGACCCATCCGCGGCCAATACACGTAGCTGCGAGCGACTGACTTCATGCGTTCGATACCAGGGTGACCCAAATGAATTTGGTCACGAAGAGACGTAGGGAGTATGACGCGGTTTCCAAACATGAGGCAATCGTTGACAATACATAGGGAATTTCGGCGATGATGTAGCTGTTGGAGATCACCCATGAACGTTTCTCCCCCAGCCATTGGGTGACAACAAAATGGATTGCACGCTGTAGTGTTTTGTCCTTGCGTGTAGCCGTCTGGATATCGTCTGCGGTGACTGAAAGCACTCTGATAACTGCGGTTAAGTCAAAAGCTACGAAATCTGTTGAAACTGCTGCAGTAACCTTTTCTTCGTCGGTCGTAGGATATTCGCTTATTGGACGGGACAAGGTGTTGGCTTGGCCAAACTATTGGGTGCATCGGAACTGAATGTCAAAATCATATCCTGAAACGTTGGGGCCCATCGTTGTAGACGATTTGCAGAGCGAATCAGATTTTGAACCAAAAACAACCAGCAGCGGTTTATGATCTGTAAGTGGCGTAAATTTGCGGTCATAGACCAGCTTATGGAAACGGCGGACGGCGAAAACAATTCCCAGGGCTTCTTTCTCAATCCGACTGTATTCCGACTCTGCAATAGTGTTCGAGAGGAATGCATGATAGCATTCTCCTTTCGATCTGGGAAGATATATAGGCTTAGAGCTTCAACTCCAATCGGTAGCTATGGGTCAGCAAAAGGTTGGATGATAACATAGACATCAGTGGACGGGAAGCTGTTGCACATTCTTTGGTCCACTACCACGGAACGTCTTTACCCAGGAGGTGGTTTAACGGCATCTTCACAGCATGCGATGAGGGTAAGAATGCTGAATAATACGTGATCAGTCCCAAAAATGATTGTAGGGAGAGGATGTCAGTTGGTTCTAGTATTTGCTGCAAGGCACGAATATTTTCGGGGTCTGGTCGGCAACCGGAAGCATCAAAAATAAATCCCGGATATTTGACTGAATGTAGGTTGAATTGACATTTTTGGGGACGAAGATAGAACCCGTTATCTTCTATTCGTTTTAGTACCTGATCCAGTCGGTTTTGTAGCTGTTCTGAGGAGGCCGCAACAATGAGAATATCATCCAGATACGCAGCTACCCCGGGTATGCTAGATAATATGGTGTCTATTATTTGTTGGAAAATTGCTGGAGCTGTTTTAATTCCAGATGGAAGGTGACTGAACTGGTATAATCCACGATGTGTGTTAATCGTTAGTAATTCTCGGCGTTCTGGTGCCACCTCGATTTGTAGATATGCGTCAGCCAGGTCAATTTTAGCGAAGCATATATCGCCGTTGAGAATTGTAAAAACACCCTCCAGTACTGGAAGTGAACAATGATGTTGTTCCAGTGCTGCATTAAGTCCCGTGGAAAAATCTGCACACATGCGAATAGAGCCATTTGGCTTTGTGACAACTATGATAGGAGCCACCCATGCAGAGTCGGAAACCGGTGTGAGAACACCTTGTTTTTCCAGATGGGAGATTTCTGCGTTGATTTGTGGTAATGATGCATAAGGCACGGGTCTCTTGGGCCGGAAAACAGGTTTGGCATCATCTCGAAGGTGGAGGAAAGCTTGAGATACTGTGCAGTGACCGAGACCAGGTTTGAGTACATTTGGAAAACGTTGGTTTATATCAGTGATTGTCAGCTGATGCTTGATCCGACTGCAAACAGCACGAAGAGGCATATCCGAAAGACCAAGATTTTCAAACCAGCCTAGACTCAGGAGGTATAAATCAGCGTCAGATAGATAACGAGTTCTATTTATCGAAGTATCATGAAAAGATAGTTCATAATAACTGACGTGTTAGTGGTAACTGGCTACCCCGTGCGCTAATAGCAGTTTGTACAGTCTTCTGAACGGAAGGTCGACCAATCTTCCACCATAGCTTCTTGGAAATAATCCTAATATCGGAAGCTGTGTCGATTTATAATCGTACTGAATGGTTATTTATCTGAACAGTGATATGTTTTCTTCGTGCTGGTGCATATGCTTGAAAAGCAGCAGTAAGATTAAGAGATTTGCCGACCGGTGGAGACTCCGATCTTCGACGGTGACTAGATAGTGACGTGCCTGTTCTTTGTGATGGGTACTGCTTGCGAAATCCGTCCTTGTGACCCGCAGTATTACAATCTTTGTATTTATTCTGCTTATAAGGGCAAGATTTGACGAAATGACATGCACCACAATGCCGGCAGGGAGACAGAGGGGTCTTCTTTGTGTTTCTTTTGGTATGGTATGAGCTGTTGGGATGACGAAACGGAGACGAAGAACCAGGGGTCTTTTGGCCAGAAAAGGGTGCAGAGGGATTATATGTCTGGCGAACCGCATGCACTTCATGATCACCCTGGCATCCGGATTGGACTAAACTTGTATCGCGTTGTAGGTTCACCAATCGTTGATATTCAGCAGCAATATCATTCAACGTTAGTGTTAGTTCTTGCTCCAACCGATTTAGCAGTTTCATTCTTATATCTGCGAACTTAGGCGACTGATGGCTGCATATAAGTATCAATTTTAATTTTTCGCATATGCGATTAACAATACCAACATGAGTGAGGAAATCGTCATTTTCGTTCATGACCAGTTTAAGATAGTGATATCTGGCATTGAAAAGAAGCGAATAATCACCAAAGTGTTGTCTCAGTGTCTGTATTTTGGCATCAAAGGAGCGGTCTCTTGGGTTCTATGGCAGTATTATATTGTAATAGTGATCTAATTTGGATGGACCAAGTTTTCGAAAGAGGATATGAACTTTCCATGAATCGTCTTGACCAGCAAAATCAACTCTGAAGTGATCTTCATGTCTTCGAAACCAAGTATTGAAAGTCACATTAGGATCCGGATCATAATAAGATTGTGTGATACTGGTTGTAATTCCGTCGACTGAAGGGGCTGATATAGCAAGCTTAGGATTCGATGATTCAGCTGTGGAAATTCTGAACTGAGTTAATAATTCGATAATCTTCATTTTGTTGTTTGAGAAATTTGTCCAGCTTCGAAGAGTCCATTTTGATCCCATCCACGTCGCCACTGTTACGATACATAGCTCCGAGACTTCTCAACTTGGTATTCGGCTGACACCAGAAGAAGACGATGAGATTGAAAGTTTATTTACTCCAACTAAATCATGATAGGTGAAAACTCAGTCGTTATCCTTAGATGGCGTTGACCAGAGAAAACAAAATAGCATATTCAAAGTGTAAAATGGACCTATCAGCGTTTAGTATCCTAAACTGAGGTAACAATAAGCAACACAGCATGGCTGAAAAAGGGTGCGAGAATAAGGCTTAAACTTTACAATGATAATATAAACATATTATAAGTTAGTTTTCTTAGCGATTACCCATCCCTAACACAATCGACATAAATTTTTTCAATCGATTTCATTTTTATAACAATGCCGTAGGCTGGAAGCATATTCATAAGTGCAGTCACCAACACTAACCTTATTCTCGAGACGATTGGAGTACTAAAGTGTTTTTTGAAGAGGTTGTTTTCAGTACCCCTTGTATACAGAGTACATCTTTGAGGTTATGACAGCTCTTGACGTGAAAAAGTGTGTGTCTGTAAATATGAGGGATTTTCGAAACAACTAATCAGTTCGACATGACTGATGCTACACTTAGTATTTAAAATTTCTTAGAATCCTCGAGATATCTGCATATCGTTGCAGGTTCAGATTACAGCAGTTCTTGTCTTTCGGACTATGCTGGTTGTATCAGTTGCATCAACGTAGACGGGCTGGTTGCTTACGAAAACTGCTCAGATAAAATAGACCTGTTTCGTAATTGCCAACTTGTGTCATCTCTGGTGCAAAACAGATATCTCACTTATTATTAAAAGATGATTATACTTCAATACACCTCGCTCTCTCCTATTATATCTCTGTGAAAAATGGTCGTTGAAAGTAGAAGATATGAAGAGATTACAGGTCTCACATCACTAGTGTCTCCTTAACATTGCTCACATATCGTGGAACCATCATGTTAGCAATATCGACGCTGGGTAAAGAGTACTCAACAAGGAAGGTAAGTCAGTCAATCAAGTTGTGCACCTTCACCAACTACGTGTTACGCATGCTGAAGCATGGCTCACTCACATCGATGTGAAATGTTACCCGAAAGAGGGTTGGATTGGATTGGATTGGAAGAAGGCACAAAGTGGTGAAACCAGGACATGGTACGAGTCAATGAAGTATCCAAATTTTACTCTGAAGCGTTATAGGGAGGTGTAAACTGTCTGCTGGGTAACCTTGTCCCTGAGACGATAGAAATTAGTGTTTGGAGAACACGTGTTGATATTGCTGAAAATCAGTCACGATTGTGCAGATGTATACCGATCTCACCATCTTCAATATCTGGAACATTCTGTTAACCTTCATCTATTTATTCCACCTCCTAATACACGTTTTTCTGTTTTGGCACCACTCTTTTCCTACGCACCTTTTCGTTGGATGTTGCTGTGAGTTGTGTCAACTTGAACCAATGTAGTTATGTTTGAGGATTCTGTGTTGATTTCACCCGTATATATGTCTTTTCTGATTCACAATTGAAAGTAAACTCAGTAAGAATGTTGTTTCAGCTTGAATGCGACACCGTTCATATTTCCTTAATTCACTGTATGAAGAGATTAAGGATTGAGAACAAAGTTACTGCATATGAGCGTAAACATTGTCAGTGTAAATTATGGTATGGGTCACATATATGGTACGTTTGCGTGGGCATTTGATATTTGAGCTTCCTTTTCTCAGGTTCATAATACGTCTCACTCACTTTGGATTTAGCGACAGAATAGTGTCGTAAGCCTTCCAAAAGTAAGTTCATAAATTGGTACTGGATTCAGGTGCGTGACTAAAATACCAATTCACTTCATTTAGAGTTGATTCCAAAATTTAGTAATATTATTGATTTCTGGATTATAATGAGTTCGGTTGGTTTACGTTAATGTTTAGTGGTGCTAAAAGTGAAGAAATTCGTGATTACTCCAGTGGTCAATATGACTCCTAGTTATTTTCTAAAGCACACTTATACGCCATACTACACCCTGGCATTCAGTTTATCACTGTCTAGGATTTTCTTAATGAATGATGTAAATTGAATCTTCTTATTGCCTTAAGGAGCGAAGGTGATTCTTTTCGCATGCATTACTGTTGTTGTTTTCGAAGCCTGTGGTGTAGGAGTAGAATGCTGACCTCATCGCAGCAACTACTGTTTCAAGTTTTGCTTGTTGACACATAGGAATACCTGTAGAAAGTTATCAGGCTGTTAGTTTATGATAACCTACTGAAGAATACAAGATATGTGTTGCATAAATATCTATTGGGGAATCAAAACTCACTTCAGTGTTCCAATTGTAGATGAGTTCTCCAATTATTTTATGATTGTGGTCTGTCTACTTCTGTATCTTACTTTTTATCTCATGTTTTATTCACTTAAGGAGGTTGCAAATGAAGCTTGGCAATACTACAAGTCACGAAATGATTCCATTATTGTTGATCTATTCCATGGACAGTTGAAATCAACTGTTATTTGCCCCACATGTCAACGGAAGTCAGTCACATTTGATCCATTCGCTTCACTCATTCTGCCTATACAGGAAAAATGCAAATACACTGTGCGCGTCTACGTTTGGCCTTGGGCATCGAATAAACGCCAACTCCTGTTACTAGAGTTAACAGTCCCGAATATACCTTGTGCTCAAAATATAAATGAAGCATTAGAACAGCAACGGCCACCTCATCCAGGCTGTCAGGTAATTATTTGATAAGAAATATCATGAAATTATATGTTACCTTTATTGTAACCATTTGATATACTTTTTAGTCTTCACGTGTGATTTCGTTCATGAAGTTTCTTTTTCCCGTGAAACTAATCATCACCCCACTAGCTGGGATGTAACTGACTGACTGGCATAATAAACATATAACCTCGCACGCAGCCGCATCGCCTCAAGTTGTCACATTCACTCAACAATTTGCTATCGCGTTTAATCACTATCGTGGGGGTTTAAGGTTTTCTGCCGTCATGTTATGATTGTTTATTTACTACTGATTAACTCGACTTCAGAGTATTTCATTTTGGGTTCATACCTTGCTCAACCTACTTCGGCCTAGGCAACCAGATAGTACCATAATCCGCCATGGTGCCTAATGCCAAAATCTATGCTGGGTCGAGTTACATTATACAAGATTTACTACCATTAGACTGGCATCAAACTAACAAGTTAACGATACTTGAGGTCCAAAAACTGTTTGGCTTCTTTGAATCGTTAATTCATCGAGAACTTTATACACTTATAATATGAATTAAAAAATATTAAACTGCTGTTTTTTGTTCAGTAACAAATCGCTCTTACTATTAGCTTGCCATATTTCAAGTACCATAGTGTTTGACGTAGTCATCGTATCGAGTGGTCGGTATGCAGTCAGGCAGACAAAACCAGCACTCAGCTAGAAACCTCGAACTCTTAAACGCACTCTGACAACCACTTGTCAACTGTTACTCAAGACTTAAATATGGGTATTGTTTGACATTGTGGCCACTGACATCAATCTATTCGTGGTCTTATTCCATATCGGCATTAATTGAAGCTGTAGAGGTTCATGCAAAGACTGCCTCTCCCGGAAGATGCTACTAGAACTAGAGACAAGTCAGTGTAAGCATATATGTTTCTTAGACTAATTGTTTTTAGGAAAAGTACAAAATCCTTATCCAAGCGTAGACCTGAAGTAAAAGTACCAATGGCTCATTGATGTAGACATTCGACTTTCAACCGATAAGCTACCGGTTTGAGACCCAATCCACTTATCGAGATCTGGGCATCTAGGTGATATCATTAGACCTGAAACAAAAAGTGTGGCTCATTGTCTATTGCATGAAGGTGCACGTGATCGCTGAGTAGATTTTAAGTCGACTACATTACTGCATTTCTATGAAAAAATTCACCAAAAAAACAAGTTGCTGCGATCTTCGGTTCGTTACCTTCTTCATGAACGTACGGGTGCTTACTGTGTGCACTTCGATTTTTCTTCTTCGGTTTATAAGCCGTTCAAGGTAACAGTTGTAACAGCTTCTGGTTTTATTTCAGTTACTCTGTATCCAACCGTATAGTTGACAGAATCTAGATATCCACCTTCGAATGGAGACAAAATTGGGTGGGGTGGTGAAAAATATGAGGCAAAAAAGGTAGCAATAATCTTTCAAGATAGTTAATCAGACTAAGTGTAAAGCATCAGTTGTCATGTCAGAAACCTTTATTAATCAGTTGGAAAATGATGAGGGTAGAGTGATTATTAGCTCAGATGGTTTTTGATGTTGCCGTATCCATTTAATTGAATGAGTTAGTTACTCAAGTTTCTTTATCGTTCTGCATGCCATCCTAACCACCAACATCAAAAGGAATTCTGAGCCTTTCGAATGTTTTTAAGTGTTATTGGTTAACTTATTGTAAGGAACTTGAAAATGTGTATCATTCTCAGGAGTTTTGTTATTACCCTACTATCGTGCACGCACATTGATCGTTTTCTCGGTCTGATGGTTTTTTTGATCCATTATTTGTAGTCTGTTAGTTTTAGTCCACCTCAGATTTTCTATTGACTACTGAATGTTTAGGATATAAAGTCTTTTGAAACTCAATCAATTCCAAAGTTTTCTCGGTCGTTATATTGACTGGTCTTAAGGGAAACATTAGGTATTCTTGGTTGTATTATGTTCTCTGAACTGGGTTGTTTAATCGTGGGGCTTTCATCGTCTTTCTGGAAGACATCATCAACACTAACTTCAGTATGAAATGAGCTGTCAGTATCTCTCCGTGAAGGGTTTGGTAGCTTGGCCTGATGAACATCTGATGAATATTCACATAGTATCGAGACGTCCTCATCGAAGCCTATCTACCAACAAAGGTCGAACAATTCGACCCAGCATAGCAACGTGGAATTACAAGTATTAGTGAACTTTGAATTATCGTTTTAGGGATAGTATAGTTTTGAAATGTAGCCGTATTTCGTACCACCTTTTTGTTTCATAAAACGAGGCATTTTTCGGAAACTGGTCGGCTTTATGATGGTAATTTTAATGGCATTGCGTCAGTATTTCTAATCTTTCATTGTCATAAATTTGTTAGAGCATGTTGAGGAAAATATTCAAACGGAAAAAACATAACTTATCTGAATACTTTCATCATTCTTATTAACTAGTTCATAGTGTTACTAGACTACTTCTTCCCCTTACCTTTCATTTCCCCCTTTATACAGTATTATATACCAAATAAATCCCTTGATCGTGCAAGATACGCACCTCCGTTCGCGTATGAGTTGACTGATGGTTTCCCTATACCTGTACTATGGATAAGTGACAGGTGAGTTGGTGTGTTTTTGCTTTTGGAGTGCTTACTTCTTGAATCCACTTCTGGTTTCAGCACATCGATTTAGTATTAAAATTCCTCTACTGCTTACAGTTCCAGTATTATCTGTTCTCTAGAGTCTGATTTTGTCAGGATGTATCTTTTTAGAATTACTTTAGATATCAGTCATTTGAACGGTTTTCTACTCGATAATATTATAGACTTAATTTTACAACTATATAACTTTGAATTATGAAAGTAAAAAATGTTAATTGTTTCCAACCGTTCTATATTTCATATTCATATTGTATTCGGGTGGAATTTCTAAAAAGAATCAACTATCGATTAGTGATTCAGATGTAGAAGAAATACATTCTAACTAATCATTTTACTGGTAAGCAATATGCTACTCATCGTTTCTTTGTTCTTCAGAGCAAGTGATATTTAAGTAGTAGGATTTAATATTTTCTCAAACGTATTTCGTTAGCAGCTTCGCTAACTTCATTATGAGACAAATACAAGGACCGTCTGCAGTATGTAGGCTATTTTTGAAGGCGAACCGTTTTGCAAAGTTTTCCATCCACTTCTTGTGGACAAGTTATGTTTCGCCGTTTGTTGCATGTTATTAAGCAATAAAATACTAGCGGTTAACAAAACAGCTTACACTTATCATTATATCGTGTTGTATATCTTTGTTCCTGTGGTGAACGTAACTTTTCTTTCACGAATGAAAAACTAATGACAAGGTAGACCGGTTTAAATAAAGTCATGTTGAATAAAAGATGATCATCATCTGTAAATAATTCTAATATATATGCATAGTCAACTTATCAAAAAAGATTGAGCTTTTTCGAAAAATAGTCTGAGAATGTCTTCCAAATATGAACAATAATAATTTCGTAACCAATAAGAATGGTTTATTTGACGAATTAAAGGATAGAGTTTCATTCAATTATCAAGATAATAAGTAGATGATGTAAGGAACAGTTGTGAAAAGAGATGATGGGACCAGATTAGAACTAAAGTCATTTGATGATCGTAATTCATCACGGTACTAATGTTATGTTGTTTTTTCTGCTTAATCACTATCAGTCATTTGAATACAAAATATAATGAACCGTAAATATCTGTTTACACAATGTTCAGTACAAACTATATCGCTAAGAAACGTATTCGATTTCGTGGTGTGTCGGTGTAACTTGGTTTATTAGAGAAATCTCTGTGCTATTTCACGATATTAACCAGAGATTTTAACCTCCCATTGTAGATACTTAAATGGATATAATGTATTATCTCAAGTATCTGTGTATTCATATTTATCTGTTTTGAATTAGAACTGAAGCTATAGCTTAGCATACATAACGTATTCTTGAATATTCTTCTAAGACACCCCAAAACTCTAACTAGAGCGACAACTTTTGACTGTATTTTAATTTTAATTCTCGACTGCATATATACATCATTTTTATCCAATTTCCTTTTAGCATCGGTCAAGGGATTAACTTAACATTTTACATTAGTTTACCAATAAATGAAAATGTTACGGGTATGACTATTACTGTGTCGGAAGATTTACTCATCAAATGTATAGTCGATCGTCTACGTGCTATCGGTGTAGACTGTGAAAAGACTGAATGTTCAGTTGGTGATGCATCAAAGTTAGATGACAAGAATTCTGAAGAACTTGATGCTTCAGGCTCTCTGAGTGATGCTCAGCATATTTCTCAACTTGATACACTATCTACAGATTCACTTCATCTCATTCAACAATTAGAACTAATTACCGAGAGTACAGGTGATACTTTGTCTTCATCTTTAAAGGGGCGTTTATCTTTAAAAGATGGTCGTGGACGTGATTGGTTAGCCGAATCAGACAATAATTTGATATCCCTTCCGTGTAAGTTGACTTCTCATCTTGATTCATGGCTAAAAGCATCATCATGATTCTATTTTCACTGTCCACAGTTCTGTTCTTAATATTTATTTTTACAAAAATGTTACGGAAAAGATTATAAAAAAATTTATCTAATGGGCAGTTAATAATTAATCTTTATCAGTTTAAGTATGTTATTCTATATTTTAACTTTCTGGGTAATCAGTGAATGGAATGTGTTTACTTCGCCATGTGATGTTGACCGAGAATAATTAGAATTATACTGAAAAAAACTAGGAGTGGCAAACCCTAGTTCATAAAGTCCTTGACTCTCAATCTGAGCTATGCGAAAGTTGATTGGTTGAGTTCATCGAAATTTCTGGAAAAAATATGCAAGGAGAGTCGTGGTGATATGCTTCAAAGTTGATCATCATGACGAGAAAGTATTCAGTGTATTTATTTTCGAAATTTTGAGTATTTTCACTAACTTTCACAAATTTATTCTCTGTCTTCTCATACAGTTTGTTTACTTCGGTAGTATTCTTTGTCATTTCACTCCCCATATTTTGTGTGCTGTTATGATAGTAGCAACTTGAAATGATGGAACTGTATGCTTGTCTATACGTTGATTTGTCTTTACACGCTATAGACGCAGTCTGGTGATCAGTTGTCATACAAAGACATCATACATATTTATACGCGTTTTAGCCAATCCTCAAACATTTTTGACCATCTGATTAAGTGACTGTCGATGTTCAAAATATGTCTTCTTTGGAACAAACATATACGATTCATTCTCTGGTATTTCAAGTAATGAGTGCTCACTAAGATATATATATATATATATATATATATATATAGCTTAAACTGTCATCACTTTATTCTATTTCATGCGGAAGAACGTTATTCGAAACCTAATTAAAACCCTACAATTCTACCAAAGTCATCCAACTGTCAAGCGTCTGATCATTATTCATATACTTCTCCCTACAATTTTGGTATAATTTTAGCATCATTGACAGGCTTAAGGTCAATAATGTTCATTAAATTTTCACCCCATCGTGTGCTACATACTTACCATACAACTCTTCGTATATATCCATATATTCTTACCAAGTAAATTGAGTCCAACCTAATTTCATTTAATTAAAAGTTTATAATTGTTGTCTAAGTATTCATTCGTTCGCATATCCGAAAGATTCAAGTTCTCCAGTTCTTTGTGAAACATTTAACTGTTTGTCTAAATTTATTTGAAAGAACAATACAATTTTCAAAATCCAGTAGTTTTTTCACGGGAATGACTCACTAATGTGGCTAGTTCCCCTCTCAGTACAGTATTTCACTTTTATCACCTTTCTTGAGGTGATTATTTTAACTTGATATTTTGAGACATTCTCTAATCATTGGTCTTCTATGGTCTCTTATTACGTAACGTTTTGACGTTTATTGCATCAGTTTAAACCTACAACTGATAAATACATAGAATCTGCTCACGGCCAGTTAGATATCAAACAGTTAAAGTATTCCATATATCATATTTTAAGTCGATATTGGCGAAATATATCTGCTTTTTCTAAATCATGTTATAGAAGCCTCTACCGTTCATAAGGTGAAGCTTTATGCTTTAATGTAAAACAGGTCAGTTCAGTATGTCTCTGCATTTCTTCTCATTTGTTAGGTATGCTTTCCGTCCATCGTTTTTCGCCACTGCTTTTACTATTCTTACATTTCAGATTTTCCCTTAAGTCTTTTCGTTACCAGACTAAATCAACTCAGAATCTCATACATAACTACACTGGTTCCAGTTGACACAATTCACGTAGAGGTGCATAGAAACATGGGTGATAACGAAGTAGACAAATGTTAATAAACAGACAGAATAAGTAGATAAAGTTTAACAAAACGTTCCAGGTATTGAAGATGGTGACATGTGTATACATCTGCACAATCGTGACTGATTTTCAGCAATATCAACACGTGTTCTCCAAACACTAATTTCTATCGTCTCAGGGACAAGGTTACCCAGCAGACAGTTTACACCTCCCTATAACGCTTCAGAGTAAAATTTGGATACTTCATTGACTCGTACCATGTCCTGGTTTCACCACTTTGTGCCTTCTTCCAATCCAATCCAATCCAACCCTCTTTCGGGTAACATTTCACATCGATGTGAGTGAGCCATGCTTCAGCATACGTAACACGTAGTTGGTGAAGGTGCACAACTTGATTGACTGACTTACCTTCCTTGTTGAGTACTCTTTACCCAGCGTCGATATTGCTAACATGATGGTTCCACGATATGTGAGCAATGTTAAGGAGACACTAGTGATGTGAGACCTGTAATCTCTTCATATCTTCTACTTTCAACGACCATTTTTCACAGCGATATAGTGGTAGAGAGCGGTGTGGAGTGGAGTGTATTCGTCCTTTAATAGTTAGTTGGATATCTGTTTGTTAACAGAGATGATGTGAGTTAGCGAATGCGAAATGTGCCTCTTGTGTCCGAGCTTAGATTTCGTCAGTAACCAACGCGTTCAGGTTTACGCAGCTCTCCAAGCAAGTGAGGTGGTCAACGCATTTCAGTGCTTCACTCCGTTTCCGTGAATTGGGAGTAGCTGCAGACTAGTACTGTAGCATCATGTTATGTTTGATACGTGGCAAACAGTGGGATTCCTAGCCGATGTGTTCAGAAGATCATGGATTTCGTTAGCGTTTTCTTCTGGTGGGAGAATGTTTCTGGGTACTCGAAGTGAACTAGGTGAACTCCTTGAGAATAAGTCAGTCGTTGTAAGTTTGTTGTTAGTTGGATTCATGTCCATTGGTGAGTCTATAATAAAGTTTGGTGGGAACATGGACAGGGCCAGTGGACTTATATAGTGAACACTGCTGTTTTTATCATCACTGCAGATGAAGACTACCTATAAGTCTTTTCACCACTGTGTGACTTTCAGTTAAGAGCTCGGACTAACGTTATTTAACTGTTCGGTACACCCTTCACAGTCTGACATTGCCGTACCTCGTCTTGGTCGATAGAATCAAACCTCTGCCTTGAGATCAAGAAATATGGCAAGTGTCAGCTACCGGTAAGTTAACCTTTCTTCCATAACCTCTCTGAATTTGAAAATATGATTGATGCACCCTTGTGCTGTTCTGAGACTAATTGGTTTTCCTCGAGTTTTCTATTCTCGCATTTTAGGGGTCATGTCCATTGGTTAGTCTATAATAAAGTTTGATAGGAACATGGACAGGGCCAGTGGACTTATACAGTGAACACTTTTGTTTATCATCACTGCAGATGAAGACTACCTATAAGTCTTTTCACCACTGTGTGACTTCGAGTAATGAGCTTCGATGGGCGTCACATAATTGCTCGACACTCCATTTGTAGTCGTGCGCTGTCAGAACATCTCTCTTTTGGCAGGGTGAAATTCTGCCTTGAGATCAGGAAATGTGGTCAGTGTTGGTCACCAGTAAGTTTGACTGAGCTCCAGAACCTCCTGAGGAGTGGAGATCTGATCTTCGCTTCCTCATCTAGGTGTAAAATCTGCTGAGTTATTTCGACCTATGCTTAGACATCTTGTAACCGTTAACTTCAACATTTTATCTACTGTGTTAGTCAAAATGATTCCCATCTGTTTGTTACACAAAAATTTCTCTCAGTCCTCAACATAAAAACGAACTGTAAGATTCAGCAATTTAGACCGGTTATATGGGAGTACCTGTGATTACAATGCGCTACATAGTCACTCCGTTACTCAACTTTTTTCTACCTACATTGTCATAGAGCTACTATGGCTCACCATCAAGTCATATTCCTCTGCATCATTCAGTGTTAGAAACAGCCTCCTCAACTTCAAGGAGATTCGGACAAAAAACTTCAGCATCCCATTCAGATTTGGTCTTGGTTTTGGACAGCTAGAACGTTCCTGTGTGTCATTTGAACCATTCTTCAAAGTTCCCTAGTCTACCGTTCTGAGAGGTCATCAGGGACTGATCTTTCTCATCGATAGTCTCACTGACCACCGTTATTTCTGCCCAAATTCCTTGAAAGATGTAGATAACTGCCGACCATTAGGTAATACTGAATTCTTCTCCATCTCGCTTTCACCCCCTAATGATGTTGACGATTACTGTGAAGACTCCTAATCGGTTTACGTTTAATCTGCTTTTGCTTCTTACTTTGATCACAGACAATTGGAATGAGTCCTCTTGGATCAGTCAGTCCGGATGAGGTTGTAGAAATCCACCTCTGGATATTTGTTGCCAGCTTTGATTACCACTGTTTGTACAGAAGGGTGAATAATACTCTGAACTTCAACAGGAGAAGGGTTGCTTATTTATCTTTTCTGGAGCTATACATTTGATTCTCATCATCCAGGGGAGTGTCCTGAGGCTTCTCTGCTGTATTTTTCTGCTTCAATTATGTTGCACACTTGTCAGTTCGAAATCAAAATCCTTTCAGTAACCTTTTGTACATTCATGCAATAGGCAATGAGCCACACCTATTGAATGGGCTGGTGATACTACCTGGCTGCGCAGACCTCCGTAGGTGGAGCGGTGTTCGAACCCGCGACACAACGGTCAAAAGTCAACTCTCTAAACCAACGAGTCACAACTCCTCATGTACGCGTGCATTCGTACTAACACATGCTTAAAGTCTATGAAGTTACTCTAGGAAGACCCGTAATCCTCCAACGATGGCTGATCGTAATACAATCTCTTTGTGTCCACCGTTGGTTTGATGTTGGTGAGCACCAGACCGGGCAATGTCTTCCCTCATGTTTGAAGCTATTTCTGACTGTGACGGAATTGCACGATACAATCACCGTTGTCGGCTCGTTAGCGTGAAACATGGTAGATGCCCCTAAGATCTCTTTCCAATTAACTCCACTCCCCTACTTTAGCGTTGAAGTCATTGACTACTACGCCCTAATCTGAACATTTTGATCCATATCATGAAATGAACAGCTGATGGAACTCATTCTATGGGTCATCTGAATTGTATTCAGTAGGAGCATAGACCATTGTCGCGATCCTTCTCAGCTTTTACCAATCCATTTAATCGGATAGCGCACATAAGAATGTCAACTGGCATCTAGTCGAGAAGTGTGTTTTCGCCTTTCAACTTAATGCAGTACCTACTCTAGCGAATCCAAAAGAGCTGATTATAAAATCTCTGGATACTCAGAAAGTGAGTTTTGCAGATTCACTGCGTTGGCTAGGTAGGGTCAAGTGAATGACCACACTTAGTTTTCATATAGGTAGCTAGGTATTGGCACACAAACACTTTCCGGCACCGACGTCATTATTTCTTGACTTGAAGGCGACTCCGTCAAATTAGAGGTTTTATGGTAGTGTCTATCACTGAAAGAGGTGTCGGGTGAGTACATCACCCTGTTTGATGACTAGTGGAAGACGCATCGACACACTAGCACCTATAGTGAAATGTTAGGTGGGCTGTATCTATCGAGTCGTGTCCGCTAAAGATGTTTAGTCTTTCCATTATTTAATTTTGTCCTAGATGTGCTTATAGAGGTGGACCTCTCGTCATCTGACTTTTATGGGGAATAACCTTACCACAAGTGATTCCTCAGTAGATCCAGAGTATGCAGAATATATAATAGTGTTAGATGAATGTAGTGACAAGATGCAGTCTGCTGGACACCTTAAGTGGCAATTTGAGGATGTTCGGGATGCGGTCTTTAGCACTCAAATACAAATTGTTGCTTCTGCATTGGTGCACCGTCTGACGACACGGGTAAAATGGTTCCACGGTTTGACTATCCACCCTACTTACTTGGACCAGCCATGTTGGGTCAGTGATCTACTAAATCTCTGCACGGATGGAAAAAACTGGCCTAGCTTTCTCCATTTATGGCGCCGCCGTGATATCCGATTGCCTATGAAGGACTAAATGTACTGTGCTGCGGTTCTCTCTACTCTACTGTATGTTTGTGAAACATGGTTATTAAAGATATTAGGCGTGAGAAAGCTTCAGGTGTTCTACCATCGTTGTCTTCGCAGCTTTCTATTGTAGCGCAGCCCACTAATTAATTAGTTATTTTAAATTTGTGGGTGTTTGCACTGTTCGCTACAAATGTTTCAAAAAGTGTTTGTTCCGAAGTGCCAATTTTTCGTAAAACTAGTAGTTATGTAATATGTTTTCTCTTCTCAATAGGTTCTGATGTTTATAGTATCACAATGAACTGTCAAGGTTTAGAAATTCGACGAAAACTCAATGATATTCGGAGTCGTATACAACAACATCCTGTTACTCGTGTCAGTCAAACTTTAAAGCTTACTGATTGTTTTGAACGCTTTACTGATGTAGAACAGTTAGGTTCAAGAGATCTGTGGTATTGTAATCGCTGCAAAGCTGAAAAACCTGCTACAAAGAAGTTTGACCTATGGAAGCTTCCAGATGTTTTGGTAGTACAATTGAAACGTTTCCGATCCCATCTACGATTTCATGACAAAATTGATACTTTGCTAGAATTCCCATTAACGTAAGTAAACTGTACTGCATTAATTTGTCTACGTCCTGTGGATACCTGCCCTTGTATATTATTGCAATCATATACGGTAGAAAGTTGTTTTGGTCCTGATTTTAATTTTGTTTTCAGGTAATTAGTTCTACAGTTTGTCTAATTTCGATGTGCTTTTGGTGTTCTTGCGTTCTATGAAATAGATGGTTCTGTCGTGTTACTACGCATTTTGTCTATTTTCAATGCACCTTTTCTTTACTGACCGTTCTATGTATATATCTGTCCCGGACTAAGTTGCTTCATTGAATTGGATCCTAGACACTTACTCTGTTCTTAAGTTACTTTTTATTTATGATCTTTTATCTTTGTATTGAATGAATTTATAATTCTGCCCTTAGTTAATCAACAGTTTGGTTTTTTTGCTGCACACAAATGGGCGTCAGAGACAGTCACCACTCAGTCATAGTGAATCAGCTGAATGAAGTCCAGAGGTAAAATACCAAGTTTGACCGCCTAACCTAGTATCTTATTACCTATATATCATCTTGGTATCCATATTTCCGAACAGAATTGATGTCCATAGCTATCCTCATTTAGTAGTGTAAAAAAGATGTATTGACGCGTAACTGTTTATTGATTTTCACTCAAGGGAAGAATGTAGTCATTTTATCTTAAATCGTGTTTCCTATAATTATTACAGTTTTCTGTGCAAACTTCATTCCCCTTACATCTCGTCACTTTCTAGGTATTATGCTTGATTATGTTAAACTAAATTGACTCAGCGACCATGTGCACATTTGTGCAGTAGGCAATAAGTGGCACCTATTATTCTAGGGCTGAGAATACTACCTGTTTGGAGAAACCTCGGTAGGTGGAGCGATGTTCAAACTCGTGACCCCACTGGTTGAAAATTATCTCCCTAAACTAAAAAGCCGCAACTCATCCTAATTTCATTATTGACCCATGATATATTTGGACGAGATCCATCAGTAGTCATCGGATTTGCATTTTATGCTATGATAATGTGAGAGGCTGGTTGCTTTGCTGTTACCTAACAGGATATGCACCAGTACCTTACCTACAGCCAAGTAGTGATAATAAAAGACACATACACCTTAGATGGTAGAAAGGCTCAAAACAGCATTGTATTTATTAGTTTGCAACCGAAAAGTTATCTTGGCGGAGAATTTATAAGCTGCCTGGCTATAAACGTCTTAACTATGATCTCAAAGTATGTAGTTGTTGATCACTGAAAGGAACCACGAAATGGCAGTTGTCTAGGTGCTCATGTCTACACATTAAAACAAAACTTGCCAAACTAAGGAGATCCGATTATGCCTTGGCAGATTATTTAACTATTATTTAGATGTTTTAAATATTTATTTATTTAAAACCTATTGGCGTTTTGGTGCCAAGAAGGTGCACTGCAAACCCATCACTAGATAAGAGAGTAATACTATCATTCTGACGTATTTTTGAAGCGTATATTCTATACCTTGTTTGCATGTTAAGTGATAAACCATCTTGGTTTATTATCTCCAAGTTACTTGGCACAGATTTTTTACGCTCTCATTCTACAGATATATCGTATTAACCTCTTTCTGTCAGTTTCAGTGAATCATATCATTTTCTGCGTAACTGCGTAAGCATTACTACTGCTCACATACTTAAAAGTTCTGATTATACGACACCATGCTTTGAGGTCATTTTGACGAAGCATTGCAACTGATTCCCATGTATATAGAGTCTCCACTACTTTTCGGAATCTTAGACATTGCTTTTGAAGTATTCTTGCCAAGGTTATTATCTCACATCAGCATTGACTATTCATTTATGACGTACAATTCCTATTTTACAACTATTATTATTATCATACGGAAATTTATAATCCAATGACTTTACAATCCCTCCATATTTCTTAGCTTTTGTTGTTGAGTTTTCATTTTTGATTTTTTAAATTGGTATATTTCTAATTTTCATACTTTATTTGAATATTCTTCTTCTTCTTCGGGAAAAACAACCACTCCTACAAACACTGGTAATAGTGGATTAGATTTGACTTCACGTGTACTCGAGAAAAACCAAGACGACAAATTCATATATGACCTAGTAGCTGTAAGCAATCATATGGGTTATTTGGGTGGAGGTCATTACACAGCATTTGCTTTAAACGCTCATGTCAACCGATGGTACTTTTTCGATGATTCTTCAACTCGAGAAGTAGATCCATCTAAAATTGTGGTAAGTTGTTTTTCCCTCGAATTACAAACGATGTTGTTTACACATTGTGTCATGATATTTTGCAGTCATTTACCTTTTGACACTTGGACGTACTACCTTTCTAGATAACTTTATTGTGTTATGCTTTGTTCATAGCCGATAAAGCTACTTCATCTTTAATATCAAGGGACACCAAATGAAAGCGTTATGGCATTGATGTTGTGCCACTTAGCTGAAATGGTTGTGTTGCCAACTTAATTGGTAAGCTTTGGCTAGAATTTTGAACTCGAGAACTTCATTGTTCATCATTAAGTGACTAATTTATATAAGCCCAAGGTGGTTATTAATGTCGATGATCACTTTCTGCCTCACAAAACTTCATTCCTTCTAGTTTCATAATTATGAGTAGAAATAAAGTGGAAAATAACTTTCTGGGGTGTTAAATGTAAATGGTTTTCTAAAACACCTGAACTCTTATTGTTTGAGTAGGATTTCTTAGAAAATCAAGAACCATCTTCTAATTAAACTATAATGTTCCTACAGTTTTCGAATAATAATAATAATAATAATAATAGCTGTTCGAACTACTCATTTCAAAGTAAACTTTGGATTGCTGTAATTGGCCCCACTGAAGTAATGCGGACTACACCTGCCTATTGTGCCATGCTCACCCTTTTCCTGTTGAAAAGATCATCCAGAATAAAATGAAGCACAGTGGTACGCGATTACAGTACAAGTATTAAGACTGATTCGACTGATATGTGTCACCTACAGACTGAAACGTTATGAAAATGTAATCCAACTTCATTTGGTTTTGACTTTATTACTTGGAATGCAAGCCACTACACTTACTGAAATTTTTCAATAAAGTGCTGCAGGGTAAATAGGTGATTTCTACCAATTTCAATTTTCTGTGTTTATGTACACGTTTGTTGCGTGTACGGAAACATCCTTTTTACATTCAGTTACTTTGTCTACTGATAATATATGAATTCAGTACTGGGAATCAGTTCAATGATTTTTCTTACGTCTATTTATTGTTTGCATGTAATCTTCGTGGAACTTTTGTAAAACCTAATAGAGTATATTGGTCCGAATTTGTTATTCTCTGCAGTCACACTGACAAAATCAACGTAGAAACTCGCATACGAGTGCATTGGCTGAAGTTGCCACACTTTATAGTAGTACTCAAAAAATAGGTGGATAGAAAAAGACTGATATCACTGTAGACAAAGTTGTGTGAGAGAATAAACAATTCGAAGATAAAGGTTGGTGGAAATATTGAAGCTTTGGAAGATGTCGAAGAGTGTATATATCTGCACCATTGTTACCGGTTTTCAGTCATGTCATCAAGACTTGTCAATCACTGATTCCTTTCATCTCGAGGACCCCATCCAGATGGCCTACATTTACCCACACGACTTCGACAAACAGGAAGAGACATCATTCACTAGTGCCAGGTTTTGCCTGGTCACCCTGACCCCTCTTCTAACCTCATCCAACTTCCCTTAGCATGGCAGATCGAGGTAGGGGGTGGCTCGGCCTAGTGCACATATCCAGCCCACCTCAGCTGATGAAGCTCCATAACTTCATCAACCGACTTGCCAACCTTGCCTAGTACCTTTCACTTGATCTCAACTTTGCTCACACGGTGATTGCACCTAACGCAAGCAATGCTGCGAAGACGCCTGTGATCAAAACGCTGTAACCGCTTCATGTCGTTTACTTTCAATCGCCATGTCTCAGACGTATAACAGGACAGAAAAGTATTTTCATCTTTTGATAGATAGTCGGATGTCTCGTAAGTGGGTGCCACAGATGACGCGGGTCTGAAATCAATTTCATTTGTAGTCGTTTCCAGTCTTCTAATTACTTAACTAAGCCAAGGTTCAATATTCATTACTACTGTATGAGTATTTATTTTATATTATTATTATTATTATTATTATTATTATTATTATTATTTGTCCCTTGGGTTCCTACTGGAACATAAGGCTTCAGCAGCACGTATCCATTTCACTCTGTTCTCTCCAGTCTTCTCAACCTGGCTCCACGACTGCTCGGAATCTCTCGTTTCTTCCTCACAAGGTCTCCTGCATGTCACGCTCGGACGCCCAACTCATCGTTTTCCATGCGGCTTCCACTCTAGGCTCTGACGCGTGATGTCTCCAAACGGTCTTCTCAGTGCATGTCCAATCTATCTTCACTTTCTTGTGCTGCATATTTGTTGGGCGATGGGTTCTGGGTGGTTCATTCCCAAAGTTCCTTGTTGCTTATTCTTATTGTTCTGGCCACCTGATCTTCAGTATCAAGCCAGCGTAGGCAGCTGTTGATGTCTGTAGTTTATTGGAAATGCTTTTTATGACGCACCAAGTTTCTAAACCATATAAAAACACTGACTTGACTGAAGTTAGTGTAGAAAATCCGGATGTTGTTCACTCTTTGTGCTGAGTGCAGTGCAGTGGATCTCCACACTTGTTTCAGATTAACGAAGACCTATCTTGCTGTCTTTTCGATCCTGGCTCTTATGTCATCATCTGCGACACCGCCTGTAGTTGAAACGATGCTGCGTGAGTAGGTGGGAGAGACTACTTCTCTCAGTTTGCTCCTGTTGGTGGTGATTGGTGCTTGTCGTTGTTGTTGTTGCTGTTGGCTGAGTATCTTCATCACCTCTGCCTCCTCCACGTTCACCTGAAGGGGAGTCCCGTCTTCGCTGCCCTGCCTCTTCTATCAACTTGTTGATTTTGGTCTGTAGATCTTCGAGTTTGTGCCACAAGACATTAGACATAAATCACCATCGGCGAAAGCCAATTCTTCTTTTGGGGTCTTTTCATCTGTCCGGTGTATGCCCATCTCGCTCCTCACAGTTTGTTGCATGATCCAGTCCACCACAATCGGGAAGATCATCGGTGATAGTAGACAGTCTTTGTCTTACTCATTCCTGTCTTCACTTGAAAGACATCACTGAGCTTTCCATTGTGAACCACTCAGCATGTGGTGTCGTCATATAGCTGTTGAATGAGGTTGGTAAAGGTTTGTAGTATTCCGTAGTGTTGAAGCAGTTTCCAAATTACTTACTGGTCGACGCTGTCGAAGGCCTTCTCAAAGTCGATGAAGTTGAGGTAGAGCTGAGTTGAGCGCCATTCTATGCTCTGTTCTATGTTGATGGGTAGTGTAAGGTTGCAATTTAATCTGCACATGATTTGTTCTTCATGAAGCCAACTAGCTTTATTAGGTTGTAATCCATCTGCATTCAGAGATTGTTTTATTTTGTGGAGGATGATGCGGTATAATATTGTGCTTGATGTGGACAGGAGCTAGATTCTGCGCTAGTTGTTGGGATGACTTAGGTCTCTCATCTTTGGGAGTTTGACAAGTTAGGCCTTCTTCCAGTCAATCGGCAGGTACTTTTCCTCCCTTCCAAACCTTCTGCAGTAACGTTGTGTGTGAGCATGTCCGCTGTTGTCTCTGCGTTTGTTTTCAATACTTCTGGAGGAATTCCATCTGGTCCTACCGCTTTCACGATTTTCAGCGGCTTTATGGCGTTCAGGACTTCTGCTTTTGACGGTGGGCTTGTGTTCACTGATAGTTCTGTTGCTGGGATACTGGTGGTATTTCTGGATTAGTTGCAGGTGTTGTTGGTGGTGGTCGATTCAAGAGTTTTTTGAAGTGGTCGGCTCATCGCTTCCTTTGTTTCTCCTGTTTGGTAACTAGGTTTCCTTCACTATCTCTCATTGGTTCCATCTGCGTTGATCTCTTCCCGGATAGTAACCCGGTTATTTGATATAATATAGTCTGCTTCACTTACCAGTGTGTCTTAGAAGTGTCTTTTGTCTTTGTGCGCACTCCTCTTTACTCTTTTGTCCAGTATTTTGTAGGTTGTGTTCAATTCTTCTTTTCTTTGTTCATCCTTTAGTTAAGCATTATCTTATTGCATGCAATGTAAGCTTCTGACATCAATGCATTTTCAGGAGTTGGTACACACTGCTTTTGATTTTTCCTTAGCTTAACTATTTTACGCTCATTTGAAGACTGCAATTTAAAAAACATAATCATACTGTGGTTAGCGTATCAGTTTATTGTCATATAGTGGAGACTTGTTCATTTAACATTTGAGTAGGGCAGTTGAGTGAACACTTTGAATTAATCACTTCACTCTTGGTCTTTTCTGTTCAAAAAGAAGTAAAGCTGTGATCCAGTGGTTGAAGGAGATGATTATCTAAACCATTGGGCCACAGGTCCGAGGTTTGGGCAGCCAGGTAGTATCACTGGCCCTCACATAATAGGTGTGGCCCATTGCCTGCTGAACGAGGTAGCTGGGTGCGCACGGTGCGGTGCGGTTCTGTTAAAAAAAGATGTTAACTGTTAAGTGTATTTCCTAATGTATTATTTGGGTTTTCCAAAAATTATTTAATACAAATACTCATGAATACACTTTCTATATGCTAGTTATTTATATTTAAATCGACGTAATTCATTCTATCTGCACTGCTGAGAAAAGTGTCAGTATAATTAGTTAGCGTTAATGAGTGTAATTGAAGCCAACAAGTATAATATATTTTCCGTTGAAAAGATGGATTTTGTACTAAATGAATATTTTCATATCCTTTCATTCATTCCTTCTAGACTAGCGCAGCCTATGTATTAGTTTATGTACGCCGAAAAGCTGGTCATTTGTTGCTGTACAATGAGAACAACAGTAATGATGAGGAACAAGAGGATTCTTCATCGGGAACAGATGAAAGTGGTCCTTCAAATGGTGTTTTATCTCCACAACGACTTACTGTGAATAGAGGTTACACTCATCGTAACGTTCTTATGAATAATACAAGTTCATCATCAAATCTACAAGACCAAGATTTGATGGAGATTGAATAAACGCCTTTATCTACTCTATATATTCTCACAGTTTCACTCTATTCCATCTATACGTAACAGAATCGGTTCAATCTCTGAATGGAGTCATTTCGCCTCGAAGTTTATTGAGACTGCCTATGGTTACCATGTTTATTCATTCATTTGTTCCTTTGTGATGAATCAAGCTCTTTTGAATTTTGTAGTAACGTAACAGCTTTCAGACATGTGTTCTTATGCGGAAAATGAAGTTATTTTACTCTCTTTGTTCTTAAATTACCTTACAGTCAATCTTTCATGCTTCCTGTTAGTCCTTGTTTTGTTCACAAAAGGGACTATTTTGTGACATATTTTGTCCCACTAGATGTATATTCACTTCATAATCAAGACCATAAATGAGTTAAATACTATGCGTATTGATTTCATGATGAAGTCAGGTTAGCTTTTTCACTTTTCCGTTAGTAAGCATTTGGTATTTTTCAGTCATAAGAATCGTAGTGCATTATTTAGTGTAAATTGCGAATGTAACAGCATATCTGTCTTTATTCTGAAAGCTTATCTGTAGCTACCATTAAATTCTCCAGGAATGATGAAATTCAACTTAAAATTAATTAATAAATTTCCACAAAACTCTAGATAGAATTAATCTAGTGCTCTTTGATGACTAGCTTCGAGAGGTGATTCCCGAAGTTCCAATGAGAAGTCATGACCAGTGGAGTCGAATATAAGGACAGTTACTCAACGGCGACATTAGATGTAGGTTGCACTACATCATGAACTGACAGAAGTAGGAAATATAGACCATTGAATTCCGACTCAGTGGCTCAATAATAATGTGCTGCTCACGGAACCTGAAGGTCCTGGATTCGATCCCTGACGAGGTCATGGGTGCGCACTGCTAAGGGGTCCCATACTAGGACGGAACAGCTGTTCAGTGCTCCCAGGTTTCCAATGTTCGTCTAACCGATGTCAGTCCATGATGAATTCCAACCTGATATCAATTAATAAACATCCAGATGGAAATTCCTTAGAATTTTCAATGAATTTAGCATATTAACCGAAGGAGTGTTACATAATGAGCCATGTTTTGAAGTCAAATCACGAATTATTTCCATAATTTTTACTACCTAGAACATGTAATTCCGAGTGGTACAGGAAGAACAAGAATCGGCATGTGTATTAACAGTTTCTAAAACGCAGACAGACGTATTATAAACAGGGAGCTAAATTCAAACAGTTTAGTCACATTTTCTCAGACATGCATTTTTATAAAAGTTAGAGAGTTACCCTCTAAAGTCGATATGTAACCGACAAAATTACACAAACATTTCAAAGTCTGTTGAGTGATCTTCCCATAGTTTAGATTTTACCCATAATTTCACATCGATGGTTGTATATAAACATCGCAGAATTGATGCCTTTTGATAATGAAATGGAATATCCGCTCCTAGATCGTTCTTCAATTAGGTTACACATGGAACAAATAATGGTAGTCGTATTCTCGTGTCAGCAATTTAAAATGAAGGAAGTCGTTTTACAGACAGATGAAACCTACCTAGAGTCCTATACAGAGCTACATTGGTTCCAGCTGACATAATTCACATAACCATGCAGGGAACAAGCGCGTAGGAAAGGAGTGATATCAAAGTACACAAAAGTGTGTACGGAGACAGAATAATTAGATAAAGTTTAACAAAACGTTCCAGGTATTGAAGATGGTGACATGTGTATACATCTGCACAATCGTGACTGATTTTCAGCAATATCAACACGTGTTCTCCAAACACTAATTTCTATCGTCTCAGGGACAAGGTTACCCAGCAGACAGTTTACACCTCCCTATAACGCTTCAGAGTAAAATTTGGATACTTCATTGACTCGTACCATGTCCTGGTTTCACCACTTTGTGCCTTCTTCCAATCCAATCCAATCCAACCCTCTTTCGGGTAACATTTCACATCGATGTGAGTGAGCCATGCTTCAGCATGCGTAACACGTAGTTGGTGAAGGTGCACAACTTGATTGACTGACTTACCTTCCTTGTTGAGTACTCTTTACCCAGCGTCGATATTGCTAACATGATGGTTCCACGATATGTGAGCAATGTTAAGGAGACACTAGTGATGTGAGACCTGTAATCTCTTCATATCTTCTACTTTCAACGACCATTTTTCACAGCGATATAGTGGTAGAGAGCGGTGTGGAGTGGAGTGTATTCGTCCTTTAATAGTTAGTTGGATATCTGTTTGTTAACAGAGATGATGTGAGTTAGCGAATGCGAAATGTGCCTCTTGTGTCCGAGCTTAGATTTCGTCAGTAACCAACGCGTTCAGGTTTACGCAGCTCTCCAAGCAAGTGAGGTGGTCAACGCATTTCAGTGCTTCACTCCGTTTCCGTGAATTGGGAGTAGCTGCAGACTAGTACTGTAGCATCATGTTATGTTTGATACGTGGCAAACAGTGGGATTCCTAGCCGATGTGTTCAGAAGATCATGGATTTTGTTAGCGTTTTCTTCTGATGGGAGAATGTTTTCTGGGTACTCGAAGTGAACCAGGTGAACTCCTTGAGAATAAGTCAATCGTTGTAAGTTTGTTGTTAGTTGGATTCATGTCCATTGGTGAGTCTATAATAAAGTTTGGTGGGAACATGGACAGGGCCGGTGGACTTATATAGTGAACACTGCTGTTTTTATCATCACTGCAGATGAAGACTACCTATAAGTCTTTTCACCACTGTGTGACTTTCAGTTAAGAGCTCGGACTAACGTTATTTAACTGTTCGGTACACCCTTCACAGTCTGACATTGCCGTACCTCGTCTTGGTCGATAGAATCAAACCTCTGCCTTGAGATCAAGAAATATGGCAAGTGTCAGCTACCGGTAAGTTAACCTTTCTTCCATAACCTGTCTGAATTTGAAAATATGATTGATGCACCCTTGTGCTGTTCTGAGACTAATTGGTTTTCCTTGAGTTTTCTATTCTCGTATTTTAGAGGTCATGTAACTATAGCCCATAGGATCTCTGACGCCATGTTATTTCAACAGACCCCTCTATGGCTATTGGTAAAAGGCTTTTCCCTCTTTGCATAGATTGGCATATCTCATGATTTATGTTTGAAACCGTCTTCTCAACTTCTGGAAGAGGTAGATGACCAAAATGTACTTCCCCTTCAGGTTCAAGTTTGATGCTGGGCAACAGGCGTTGCTGTGGGCCAGTTGAACAGTTCTCCATTGTTCCGCGAAACCTTCTAGCCATGTCTCTTGAAAGGTTGTCAGGTTCTCAAGCTTTTTTGGCGATGATTTCACTAACCGTCATCTTCTTTTTGCTATTATCCTTAGTCCGAAATAACTTACCTGAGAAAAAATCTATACCTACATCACCGATGTGCTCCAAGGTAGGAGGGAGTGTACTACTTTTTAGGCCAAATGTTTTAACCCCTCCTTCTAATAGGGAAAGTAGCATGATACTGCGGGGAAAACCTTACTGCTGTCATACATCTGTTCAGTCAGGAGTCAGAAACGGCCCTCGCACCCTCATCGTCTAGACTATAATAGCTGATTTTCGTCCAACTGCCCCTGCTGACGTAGCAGAACCTTAAGGAACAAGCGTTCCAGCCACTGTAGCCAGTTAGGTCATTGTGATGTACAATTCTGACCACTGCATCAGGGTAGCAACCGTCGGTCGGGTTTCATCACGTTAATAAAAGTAATGTATCTACAACCCAAAATTATTGTGGTAAATCAGTCAAAATCACAGTCACAGAGAGAAGTTCACCATCAATATTAGCGATTTGGCGACATTTTGTTTGTCACAACTAGTGTTAACAGACTAGAAAATTGATATCGTTTCGCTATTGAAAATTTGCGGAGAACAGAGTGCAATGGAGGCGTGCTACTCAAGCCCTATGTTCCACTAGCAACCCAAGAGAAAAAAAAAACTCAGATCCGTGACATGGTTTTTACGGCCTTCAGCAGATGACTTTTGCTTTTTAATGTTAAAGATATTATTAATATTTGGAACTTCAGTGAAGTCATTCAGTTAGTAGTAACGTGCATAAGTGTTACACAACATGTCTCTAGTTTGCACTGATAAGCAGGATTCACGTCATACTTAATTCTCTGCGTTTATAAAGGTACAAAGAACTTGGAGCAGGAGTTAACATTTATAAAGGAAGTTTATAATGCAAATATTTTATTAGTACTTTCAATAAATTATTACAATCTTAGCACCATCCTAGGCTTCTGAGGAGGCTGCAGTCTGCATTCTGTTAGTCACTGTATTGGTAGTTTTCAGTGGCATGCTGCCTCTATGTGTTGTCAGGCCTGGTAGGAAAAGCACACAGGAGCATCCTGTGATTATATTCCAATTTAACTTGCACAAAAGAGAGGTAACTTTTCATCAGAAAACTAGATCAAGGTTATTGTAAACCCTCCTAGAAAGATTTATCTCCTCTACGCAGCACTTTATACTAAGAATTGTCAAAAGGTTATCAGATATGACTTGAAGACTCGCAAAGTTCAATTTTCCACCAGTAAATTAATTTCTGACTGACAACCTAAATCTTCCAAGCAAGTGATGTAGGGCGAATTTATTCATTTCCTCCAACTTCGTTTTCACCATTCTAAGTTCTCACAAGATCTAAACTCAGGAAGTTTGCTGTAATTGAGTGTGAGGAAATATTTCCTAGTTTTCCATTTGTGACTGGTAATTTTCAGCAGTTAGTTGTGATTATCTGTTTTCGCTCCATCCTTCAAAACAGTAAAGGTTACATTGGACTTTAGTTTCGATATCCATGCCCTTGTAGGGAGGGGAGTTGTAGGATATTTAGGAATCGCCTGCTAAGTGAAGCAGATAACATACTACAATAAACAGACCATACAATTACGAAGACTAAAAAGGTTATAAGACTGCGAAAACCAACGAATACTGCACTGCTAGTTATTGACTTCACTGATGAGAACCGCTGATTTATATTCCTCATTTGGCTTCAACATGTAACGTAATAAATTACTCGACCGAGAGGCTTTCCTGTTACACAACAAAATCACAATCCGTTAAAGCTGGTAGGAGGCCATTGGCAGCATGGATATCTCTGTAGACAGTTCCTCTGCTTGACCAATGAACTTACTCTCCTTTATCACATTACTCAATGGTTGACAGAAAAGGTCTGTCAATACATCAATTGATAACCGACTGATTGACCTCAACGGCAAGCTTCTAGGAAATCTCTGAAATTCTGTCAATTCGCTTGTCCAAAATTGAGGACTTGATGCTTATGAGTTGACTTTTTGTATACTCCACTTTTCAATTTCTCCAAATTTGTTCTAGTGATCAGAACATCTAAAAATACGGGTTTATCATTTGATTCCTTTTAACTGTGAATTTAATGTGGTCGAAAATGTTTCTGAT